AGCTCTTTATTATCTCGCCCTATTGATCTGTCTATGAATGGAGAATGACCATTGATACGTAGTTTATCTGATGATTTCGATTACCGAAGAAAAAATTTTGTTTTCCATTATTCTGCTTTTAAACCTTAAATCATAATATGAGTAATGATCAATGACTAATCAATACCTGTCTTTGTTGATAGCTGCCATCTTTCAGGCAATTGATTAAAAAAATCTTACCGCCATGCATTTTCTACTTCTTAAAATTAGCCAAAAAATATTTCATTGTTAAGCAATTTTGATTTAAAACGCAAAACATTTTTGTCTTAGGTTTAAAGTGATTCTGTCCGACTAAAGTGGGCGGAGCGCGTGCCAAGTACAGCAATTTTTGCCGTGCCAGCGATATATGAGTCAACTAGGGAGGAGAATGAGTCAATTTCTCTTCTTTAATACAAGCCGCCTTTATTAACCATTTATTACCCGAGGTAAATAGGAATGACTTGACCTTTGAAAGAAACAAAGTGAGGAATACACAGAAGACAATTCCTTGTAAAGAATTTCTCTCAAAGAAAGGGCAAACATACCGACCACCAAATTCCGTTTGGGCTTACACTTTGGCTAGTATCATCGCAACGACTTAAGCAAGAAAGAAATAAGAAAAACACAGCAAACAAACCTGTTGACCATATGGAAAAACCAACTTATTTAAATCTTCACCCACTACTCACTCTCTTCTCTTCTCTCTCTCTCTCTCTCTCTCTCTCTCTCTCTCTCTCTCTCTCTCTCTTCTTTTTCTCTTTCTTACTTTTACCCTGCAACGCCATCGTTACCCCTCTGATAAAATAACATTTAACCGTCCCACCACTTATGTTTTTAAACTCGAATTATCCAAATACCCTTCATCCCAGTTTCAGTCATACCTTGAATCCTTATCCACACCACACAACTCCCTTTGGCTAGCTACTAGGAAGGTTACCAAACACTACTTACATGCCTTCTCCAATTAGAAGTCCGAACGGTACCTGGACCGGGTCAAACGCAGAAACGTGTCAGCTATTTTCCGATCACTTTTCTACAGTTTTTACTCCCAATCCCGATATGAATGTCACTTACACTCAGATCATATTAATGAATTCCTTGACTCTCCTCTCCCTCTCGCTCTACCCCCTAAGCCCATCTACCCAAAAAAGCAATAGTGTACCTTACATCTATTTACAATGCAATATTTTGTACAACCTATTTCCCCATCCAGTGGAAACTATCTTTAATAACCCCAATACCAAAACCACCCCAATCCCCAGTGCCCTATCCTATTATAGACCAATAAGCCTCCTTCCTATTTTAACCAAAATCTTTGAACGTCTCCTTAAAATACTAATTCCCATATTAGACTCTGAAAACTTAATTCCTAGCTATCAATTTGGTTTCGACCTCTCCATTCCACTGTTCAGCAGTGCTTCAGAGTAGTCGACACGATATCCTTAACTCTAGAAAACAAACAATACTGCGCAGCCGTTTTCTGAACTTTACAGAAGCATTTGACCGAGTATGGCACCCCAGCCTCCACCATAAGTTAAAACGTATCCTCCCTCATTCCTAGTATCTTATCCTGAAATCCTTCCTCTCGGATCGATGGTTTAAAGTAAGAATCGGCACCGATTTTTCATCTATCACACCAATGAAAGCTGGCGTTCCACAAGGAGGTATCCTAGCCCCAATCCTCTACACCATCTACACTGCTGACATACCTCCACATCCAAACGCACAAGTCACAACCTACGCGGACGACACCACCATCTTATCAACACACTCCAATCCTATCCTAGCAACAGAAGCACTCCAACAACCGACTGGTGCAATCTCTGGCGGATCAGGTTAAACGAACAAAAGAGCCAACACGTTACGTTTACGCTCAAACGCCAAACCTGTTTACCAGTGCACATTTACGACAAGATAATACCACCATCGAACCAGGTCCGCTACTTTGGGCTTTACTTAGATAGTTTAGAACGACTTACATGGAACCCATATGCAAGATTAAAACGGCAAAAACTTGTCAAAAGATATGGACTACTCAGACACCTACTTGGACCAAAATCAAAACTAAGCATACATAACAAACTAACCGCTTACAAAACACTCATCAGACCTATTTGGACCTATGAAGTCGAGCTGTGGGGTCGGCCAAATCATCCAATATCCAACGAATTCAGTCTTTTCAATCTAAAGTTCTACGCCGTATCCTCAATGCTCCCATCTATGTCACCAATCAAACGATCCATAAAGATCTTAAAATCTCTTTCGTGAAAGATATTATCTTCTTCACTTTCCACTCTAAACTATCCCTCCACCCTAACCCACTGGCCCTAACTCTTTCCTCGACGTCTCACCCTTACAATCCTTCGTGCCGTTGAAAAGACGATGGCCTCGTGACCTTCTATCTAACCCACCGAATTAACTTTAACCCCCCCCCCCCAATTAAATAAAAGAGACTTCCAGCACTGGTTGGTTTCAGTCCAAAAATTTTTACCCTTACTTTTTCACTATCGGCTTCGCTCTTAACTGTTCTCGATATATCTTTTGTATTGCTCTGAAGTTCTGCCTCTATTCCTCTAAACTCTTTCCTATTCAGATCAGTCCAACATAGTCAATAGGTCACATCTTAGCCTACAAAATCCAGGGTTTATTGCCTACGCTCACTGTTTTGGTCTCTACTAAAGATGACGAGAAGCCGAAACCCGTCTGACTTACCAAATTTATCGGAAACGACCAGATATACGCTCATAGCCCTTGTGAAATCAGTGAGACGCAAATTTTTCAGTTTTTCAGTCTTTAGAAAAAATAACCAATAAAGTAAACTATAAAATCCCATGTCGGTTATTGTTGCAGGGGCTCTTTATTCAAACCAAAAATGGGTAGAAAAAATTAAGTTTAAAATAATCCTGTTGAACGGATTGATAATTGTTCATATTAGTTGGTCCGTCTAATCTCGTTGGTTTACGTTTCACTCAAACGCCATTTTTAGTTCTTCAAGGACGAAAAGCGTTTGACTGAAAGAGAAAACGAGTAAAATGACCAAGGGTCGATCAACCGCAGTTCAACACTTCACATCTTGGTTTGCAAAAACCTTACCGCGTGTCCTCACTGCTTCGGTCTCTACTGAAGATGGCGTGAATGTAATGACCGTCCGACTATCCGAAATGGTCGGAAACGACCAAAATACAAGTTCATAGCACTACACGCTCCAAAATGAGATATACATCAAAAGAGATCGTAGAATCATTATTACATCTAAACATAAAGGATTTGCTTTTTATCAGGGAAACCTTGTGAAATCAGCGACTGTAGAATTTTTTCGAACCTGGATAATAGGAGTGAGACTCAGTTTTTTTTCTGTCTTACAAAGCCTATAGGAAAAATAAGTAATAAATTATAAAATCAATCTCACGTCGGTTATTGCTGGGAGGGCTCTTTATTCAAACCGAAAATGGACGAAATATATAAAAACATCTGTTTTAAAAATAATCCTATTGAACGGATTGTCACTTGATCATATTAATGGGTCCGCCGAATCTCGCTGGTTTACATTTCACCCAAACGCCATTTTCAGTTCCTCAGGGTAACAAATAAAGTGATCAAGGGTCGATCATCCAACATAGCCAATAGGTCACATCTTACCTACAAAATCCAAGATCTATTGACTCACTGTTTTAGTCTCTACTAAAGATGACGAGAAGCCGAACGTGTCAAACGTGTCTGACTTACCAGATTTACAGGCTCCAAAATGAGATATCACAAAATAATTATTACATATAAACCTAAGTGATTTGCTATTTTTTATCCGGGAAATCTTGTCAAATCACTGTCTGTTTAGGATTTTTAATACCTGCCGGAATCTTGTATTTTACGAGAAAATATTCGATAATAAGAGTGAGTGTTTTTGAAAGTCTAGGAAAAATAAGTAATAAAGTAAATTATAAAATCAATCCATGTCCATTATTGCTGCAGGGGCTATTTATTCAAACCGAAAACGGGCGAAATATATAGAAAAATTTATATGAAAAATAATCCTGTTGAACGGATTGACTCTTGATCGTATTAGTGGGTCCGTCTAATCTCGTTGGTTTACGTTTCACCCAAACGCCATTTTCGGTTCCTCAAGGACGAAAAGCGTTTGACTAAAAGGCAAAACCAATAGTGATCAAGGGTCGACCAACATAGTCAACAGGTCACATCTTCAAAAACCTTACTGCGTACCCTCACTGCTTCGGTCTCGACTGAAGATTGCGTGAAGCTAATGACCGTCCGACTATCCGAAATGGTCGGAAACGACCAAAAATACTATTCCATAGCCCTACAGGTTCTAAAATGAGATATTACACATCAAAAAAGATCACAGAATCATTATAACATTTAAACATAAAGGATTTGTTGTTTTATCAGGGAAACCTTGTGCAATCACCGTCTGTGTAGAATTTTCACGAACAGCAGATATCTTTTGTATTTTATAAGAAAATACCTGTTGATATTAAAAGTTAGGCGTAGTTTTTTCTAATTCTCCGAGTCTTTAAGAAGGATAAAGAATAAAGAAAAAACAATATTAATCTCATAGGGTTTATCTGTCGCGGGGGCGTCGAAGCGAAGAATGCGATGGCTCTAGTCATGGCTGATCTTTAAAATAAATAATTTGTTAATTTATTTGATTTAATAAGTTTTCTATATCAGATTTTTAACATGAAATAAAAGTTTCAATAAAAGTAAGTATCCTGCCTATGCGAAATAGATTTAAAGGGTAAAGTTTAAAAAGGCGATGTAGTAAAGACATGAGGCATGTGGTTTACGCCTTGGTCGCCTGGTGGTACTGCGACAACGGCTTGTTATCGCCGAAGCCTTGAAGAAAATGATCTTTTTTTTAAATAAAATTGTACAAATGCAACGTTTCTCGGATGAATCGTGTAAAATGTGGCAACAACGGTTAAAGTGTTTTATTTTATAAATTAAGTTATAGAAAATGTGCTTACTTTATGTCCTTGTTTATCCGGTAGAACGTCAAGGCTTAAAACGTGGTCGCAAGTCACTGCAAGGTGGCGGTCGGCGGAGCGGGGATTCCGCTCCGGGGTCCGAGGCTTGACTAACTTAAGTTCCAGTACTGAGTCGTTCTCGCTTGGGCCAGGCAGCGACATGAGGACGGGTGGGGACCCAGACGAGAGCGGAGTGGGGCTCCCGACCCTGGCTACGACCGCCTTCTCACTTCTCAATTCTCAATTCTCACTCGTCCTACTCGTTTTACCGGCAGGTGTTGCCACCGGCGTTGGATGAGGGAAATCGAAACATCTTTGTCACAAGAATGCGGGAAAATCAAAGCCAACCTTTAAATACAAACATCCTGAAAAATAGAAACTAAAATCTTAAACTTTGGGGACGCACATTACTGGCATAAAGCTGTTCTAAAAAGATAATAAATTGCGTACAGCACAGAGCCAGATGCTTTTGCAAATCATGGTTATAGGACTTATCCATCTTTGTCACAGGAATGCCAGAAAATGAAAACCAGCCTTTAAATTCAAACATCCTGAAAAATAGAAACAAAAATTCTAAACTTTGGACACATACACACATTGCCTAAAGCTGTCATATTGTGCACACATAGCAGAGGGACATCAAAGAGATCAGAGTTGGAAAATCAGTACTTACAAGTTACAAGTACAAAGTACGAGTACATACTTGAAAACTAGTTGCAAGTACAATTACAAATACTGTACTTGGAATTGAAATAGAATGAATAAGTTCAAGTACAAGTACATATAATTGAAATTACAAGTACAAGTCTAAGTACTTGTACTGGTTTACTCAGGGTGCAATTACATGCACTTCAAGACTTGTACTTGTTAAGGTCAATTACTTGTACTTGTGGTTAGTAACTGTACTTTAAGTACAACGAGTACTTTCTTTTTTTGGAACTTTACCAGTGTGATGGATTTGTAGATACTGCGCAAAAACTGTTTTTACGGGGTTTTTGCCTATATTTAGTCACATTTTGTTTGGATTATTTTGAAAGACATAAACTGCCGCTGTTCAACCCGTATTTAGCAATCTGTGAATTTAATAGCTTGATTTTGAATTCGCATTCACATTTTGAACCGACCGTGTGGAAATACAGTATCAATAAAGACATATTATATTGAGTTGATTCTATATAATTACAACATTATAGAAACACAATACCATAAAACCATATCAACTCCACTTGGTCTTAATATTTATAAAGTAGTGATTAGGTTCTGCAATGTTCAAAGGGAGAAAAAACCCGTAAGAAAGTTAATAGAGATGAGGGAATCGTCTGAAATTTTTATCTTTGAATATTTTACTAATGATATTTGTGTATGTATTTGTTTGTGTACACGTGTATCTTAACGTAAGAGTTCGAGTTTTATTTCATTTGTCTCATTTAATATATAGGATTTGATTATTTATTACTAGTGTATTTAAAGAATGTTTAAACTTATGATGTTTTTAATCTATAATATAATTTTAGTTCTAAACTAGAAAACCATCTCAATGAGATCTCTTAAGACTTTAAATGTATAAGACTCATACATTGATCTTTTATATTTGTTAAGGGAATAGGTAGTAATTGTAAAAATTTATACAATGTCTGTATAAATATTTGGTATGAGATTACTTAATTATAGCGACATCAGCAAAGGCAATTTGAATAGGAAAGGATTGATTGTGAGTGAGAAAAGAATAATATTGAAGAATAAAGCTATACGGTAAAATTGTTTAAAAACATTGGTTGGGAAAAATTATTATAAGTTTAATTCAAATTGAGGTAATAATAATGCGATATTAATAATTTACAATGACAACAGTTTCAACTACAACTACCAGTAAGGAAGTACAGGTACAAGTACTCGTAATTGTATTCAATGTTCACAAGTACAAACACAAGTACTTGTACTTGTACTACCAGTGTCAAGTATTTTACTTGTACTTGTTCTCGCTGGAAGTCAAATTGCAAGTACGTGTAAAAGTACTTGTACTTGCAATTACTTTTGAAGAACTTGAGACTTTTAAATAACTTCGTTGTCCTGCCCTTTATTTCACTGATGTTCCTGAAATAATACATTCACACATTTACTCAAATACTTGAAGGAAGTACTTAAGTACAATTGTACTTAGGTTCTCACAACTCTGAAAGAGACCAAAAAATTGGCCAAAAAAAGTTCAATGAAGATACCTATGTGCCCAGAAAGTGGCATACCAAACTGCCAAAAACATGGATCCATTAACCCACACTGGTAACATCTTAAAATAATGGATTTTTATTGGATTATGTTAAATCTCAAATTAAGTAAACAATACCTGTGCAATATGCTGACGATCTTGAAAACCTTGGATTTGTTGTGAACCCAACTTGGTTATTGACTACAGTGCCGTGGGTTGTGTAATCTGGTAAATCTGACAACTGAAACATTTTGAAAAGTACACCCTGCCCAGAGAACGCTGGATCTCCATGAAGTAGAATAGATAACATAAAATTTAATAAAATATTATTGCGATTTCTCTAGTACAATTGTATAATTCATAAATAAAGGATAGGTTTTTTTTACTTTTTTCCTTCTCCATCTCCACAACTGCTCAGCCCAGGTTTTTCCTTGAACAACAGGGTCTACAGCTTCTAGACGAGACGGATTGGCAACAACACCTAATTGAATGTTCTTGTTAGTGATTCTGTTTAAAAGTTCAATATATGTACCGAGATTGTATTTTACATCTCCTTACCTCCTAGGGGTTTAATTTATTTCATATATGATGACTTACATCATCAGCCACTTCAAGAGCCGCAACCTGAATCTGTTCCAACAGCTTCCTGCAAATGTTAGCTAAGGCATTCAAAAAATAAATTCCATACGGCACAGCACCAGATGCTGTTGCGTCATCAAGAGCTATAAGTCTTAACAGCTTGCATCCTGGCAGATGAGATTCCAATAGAACTTTATTTGGAAGGCCTGGAACATAATTACATGACCGGACAAGCACTTCCCTTAAAGACAAAAACCCCATTACAATTCTGTGCTGGGGAGATTACAAAGCTGGGAATTGTTAATAGAAGAATAGCCGTGTACTAAGACAGCCAGGTGGCACTGAAGGCAATTGCCATATCGGTGGTAAAGTCCAGAGTTGTTTAGGACTGCATCAGAGCTCTGTCAGACATTAGAAAAAACAACAAAATTAGACTTGTCTGGGTAAGAGGGCAGAGGGGCAACGAGAGACTAACGAATTGGCCAAGTTAAGTTCGATGAAGACTTGAAATAGGATATTGGCCCTGAAACCTTTTGTGGCATATCGAACTGCCAAAAACATGGAGCCATTAGACAATGGATTAAAAATAAGTCCTGTACCCCAGGACTGAGGCTGCAAAAAAATTTGTCAAAGGACGATCGCAGAACTGCTAAATATAGAATGTGCTAGAAATAGAATAATAGTTTGACTGATGACTGGACACTGCAGACTCCGGAGGCATATGTAAAGAATCGGAGTGGCAGAAACAAGCCTTTGCAGATATTTCCAAGACGAAGAATAAACAGCAGAACCTTTGTTGGTGCGAAGGCCAATGCGAGATTCCTAATCCTGGGAGAGGAAAAGCAGAAGCCCTTGGAAAAGCTTTGGGGTCTGGTAAAAAGCCTTATGCTTAACAAGTTGCTCTATGTATGTAAATCTGGAAAGGAGATAAATGTACTTGCCACTGAGACCACTCACAAACCTGAGAGCACCTGATTTTCAGTTGTCCTTTCCATGAGTCAATATGCCCAAACTTCTAAAGGAAGTGGTATTATGGCATTATTAACATATTCTATGTTATTTTTTCAATATTTAAACTTTCTTCTGAATCACTTTTGAAATAATTTTAACCTTTTTTTGTCATAAAATCAAATAAGCTTGTTAAATCTGTAGTTGAACATGTAGGATACCATTTGCAAAAAAAAAAGTTCATTTGTTCTTTTTAAAAACCAGTGCAATTTTGAAAATAGAATTTATGCTAACAAATAAGAAAAACTTGTTTAATTTCTTTTTTCTTTTACAGGTTGAGTAGTTTGTAAGAATATTTAGGGGCAACTGTAGTAAGTTTTCATTTAGTATAATGATTTAGATTTTTAAAATTCAAATAGTGAACAAATGTTTCTCATATTTCCAGGATTCTATATAGAGTTTAAGATCTGACCTTATTTAGATTAGAATTTGATCATTACCTATTTTTGGTCTGCCTCTTTCCTCGTGGTTGGTCTGTCAGATGCATTTTGTCTTCTTCAGTGTGAGGTCTTATAACAAATTTACATCGAGTTAATATCAGGAACAGAGTAAATAATTGTTTTATTACTTTCTTCTTGCAATTTTCATATTCTGCAGCATTAATAAATGTTTTATGGTGTTACTTTGACTTATTCTGATATTTTTTCAGTCAAATTTATTTTAACTGATTTTTGTCAAGGAATTTTAATAAATATAAAAATATGACTTTTTTCAAGAGTTGTACGGAACAAAATATTTTTTTAAAATTAATGTATATTTCAATTAATTATTCTTTTTATCTACGGTCTTGATTGAGATGAAAAAGTTAGTGTCACGAGCGGGATTCGAATCGACCTCAGATATCAGACTTTAGATAAAAAGAATAATTAATTGAAATAATTAATATGGTCAATTATGACCACTAAACATATATGGATTAATTGTATTATTTTTTTATTGTTTTCTTTTTTGAACAGTACAATACGCAAATAATTGTTTTCTCACTTTTTATTTCTAAAAATATTACTTTCTTCTTGCAATTTTCATATTCTGTAGCATTTCTAAAGGTTTCATAGTGTTACTTTGGCCTATTCTGATATATTTTAGACAAATTTTTGTTGATTTTTATCAAGCAATTTTAATAAGTAAATTAAAAAAATTATTAAGTTTTTTCACGTGTTCCATTTAGTTTAAACAAAAACTTTTTTAAAAATAATATTCAATTGTTTTTAAACAAATATAACAAATTGTAAATTATGAAGTTTTTTGTAAGTACATCTGATTCGAATGGAGTGCACTGGATTCAAACCGGGACCTGAACATCACTGGTTTAGTCTGTCACATGCGTTTCGGCATTTCGCCATCTTCAGTGTGTCTGTAGGATTCTGTTAAGTCAAATATGTTTTATAAGGTCAAGGTACATGTATTGGCGTTTTCTTTGCTTATTCTTTTGTGGATTAACGTTGTGAACTGTTGTTAATTTGTGTTTATGAGTTTTATAGTGTATGTGTGTAGCGTATGGAGAAATGCCAAACCACCCCACTGATGTTGAGCCGATCAAGAATCAAAGGGTTAAGTAGATAAGTAGTGAGTAGTAGTCAAATATAAAGTAGTAAGGATCAAATTAGAGGTTCATCCTGCAGACCACAGTACGAAATTTCATGTTTAGAAAGCTAATATCATAAATCTGTATTGTTTTTGTAGTGTATTGTCAAAATAACTAATTCAGGATTTATATACTAAATGATGTATTTTTCATCTGATTGTGAAATACTCTGAGTAGAATTAAAATCATTTCCTTTTTCTTGTAACAATTATTTCACTTAAACAAACTATATCTTTTCTTTCTTACCGCTTTCTTTAAAAACTAATAAATGTACTTTATTGTAAGTTTAAATTATCAACTCAAATGTATAATTGAGGTTTTTATTTGTGAGAAAGCAAAAGCAGAAGGGGGGGCATTAATCCAATTTCATGAAGTCTGCTTCCATCTGAGCAACTTCTTTGATATGAAGGAATTTTGAGCCTGTTGCTGATGCTGCGCCAACAGCTCTGCCGGCATATCTACAAAATGGATATTTCAATCAATTATAAAATCCAACATTAAAGTTAAAAAGGCGTTAAGGTTGTATTAATAAATACACGACACTTTTTGAAATAATGTTTAATGTCCTACGACGATAGAACAATATAATATGTAACAATTGATTTGTTCTCATTAGATTCTTTATTATAACTGGAATTTACAAAAATACAACATAAATTAAAACTGCGCTAAAATAAATTAAAAGGAATAACCAATGAAATTATCAATTATTTAAATTAATGTTGAAATACTTTTTTTTTTATTTACACTGCAATAATGTGATTCTCATTATTTTAATTAAGCATTTAATGATCAGTGCTTATTAAAAATAATATCTTGTAAGTACAAGTTTGTGAGTACTCAAAATCAATTTTTAATTTTCATTTTGTAAAATAACGAAAAATACTTACATCTATATACATGAAATTACAGACTTTTTTTTAAAATTAAGACAGGCAAAAATAAATAATGAAGCAAAGGAAATGATAGAATGACATAAATAAATCTTGTGACAAATTAATGCAAACAAAAAAAAAGGTGTAATCCTTACAAAGAGTAAACTTGGTTTTCCTTTTTTTTCAGGAAATTTCTAATTGCACTAAAAATAAGATCTCATTCACTAAATTTTGGTTAGAACAATAGTCTGGTGACAAGAAAAACAATCTCATAAGAACAGTTACAGAAAGTTCAAAAGAGAAAAATAAATATTCGTTCGAAAAGTATTTTCGTTCGGATTATCACGCATCTGATTTTTCTAAAATTTGGTTCCACCAATTGTGACCAAATAGAACTGAATGAAGGAAAACGGAACAACAACGCGAACCAGGCTTGAAAAGTTCGTGCAAGTTAATTGAAACTAAAAATCTTTCTTTGAAAGAACTTAGATGCTCAAGGCATCGCTTAAAAGTTGAGCTAACTCCTTCAAGTGCATCATTTTGCTTCCGGTTGCTGCGGAAGCAGCTGCTGCTCTTCCTGCATAACTGAAATAAAAAGAAAAACGTACGGAGATTAGATACATGGGAAAATGAGGCGTTTTTAGATGGCAGTGAGACAGGAAAATATCAAAACGATCGACTATCACCAGTGAAATATGATGAAATTCTGAATATTTCGAGCTAAAATATTGAAATTATAAAATAGTTACACCATTATTACCAGCTTACATATTTTGTTTACAAAATACTTCAATACCAATGATTAATCTATTTATTTTTAGGATTATCATTACAAAAAATAGGAAAATGTAAAAAAAACTAATTTCAGAATTTTATCCTCAAACCATCCTAAATACTTTAAACTAATGGGGGTACATAAGCCTGTTTTGTTAGATGTACAAGTAATATAATCAGGTAAACCAAAATCTATTTTGACATTTTTCAGTTTCTGAAATATTTGTAACATAAACAAAACGTTAATGTATTAATTATATTACTTAAAACATAAACCATGCTTTTTATAATATAATGTTTTTAAAAATAACAATAAAATGTGCTTAAAACTTCAAACTCTCTTGCAACATGATATGTTTTGTGATCTTGTATCGTGATATCAACTGGAAATTTTAAATAAAATAATGACAGACGAGGGGATGGTTTCCCTCCATCATCACCCACCTAACTGTCCTCTGCTGTTCCTCGGTAGTCACCACTTCGGGTTGTTTATTCTCGGGAGACTTTCCAAATAGGGACGATAGGAAACCACCCCCGCTCTCTGACTTTTGGCTAGAACAGTAAACTCTCAAAAGCCTACACCTACTGGCTGGATGAAAAACTTGGCTCAAAAACTATTAACGACTGAACTCGTGTTTATTCATCAGAAATTCAAAAGTGTGAAATACGTTTGACGTGTGAAAAAAAAGTTGAAATGATTGATGAAATTGCCCGAGCTTATTTGTACATTTTAACAATCAATCCCCACACAGCATGCACAAATTATATTATTAAATTAAATAAATTAAATATGACATTATTGATTAAATGTTAACTTAAATGAATCTTCAATGCAACTGTAAATGGTTATTTTTTTGAAAGACATCATATACTTACACAATTTCACGAGATTTGTTCAAAGCGGTAGCAAATCTGGGTTGGACGTAGGTCCATGATCCTTGATTTTTGTGTTCCTCTTGAGCCCAGCATAATTTCGCATTAGCATATTTAGCGCACTCTTCACGTACAAGATCATGCGGGAATGGTGAAATCTTAAATGAAACGGAAACAATTTATAACGGTGTTTAAACAAGACTGACATTTACTTTTTAACATGTTAACTGGGAGTGATTGACTGGCTTTTCCCTTCACATGGGGTTGAGGCCAATGTCGCTTAGGCAACATGGCACAGGATGAGAATGTGTACAGAGAGCTCAAGCAGAAGGGTTAGAATGGATCAAGAAGTTTATGTGGAACTTTTGGAATCGGATATGGATCAGTTGTTGACAAAATATTGAGGTAGGTTTGGATAATGAAGTTAGAAAATTAATAAGGAGCTTTGACTATTTACCCCACAGTTCCACTTCATATGTCCAAAGTGGCAGCACTAAAATCTTGGATAAGGTTAGTTTAGTTTGGCAGTCAAGGAAGATTTTTAAACCTCGTGATAGGATTCCACTGTCTAAGCGCAGTCCTAAGTATTTGTCTTGAAGGGAAATCTGTATGTTTGGTGTTTATGTACAGTGGAGGGCAATTTTTCTTCATTTAGTCTTGTCTCCATCACTTTTAGATAAGCTCAAAATATTCTGGGATGTTGGTTGGAGCATATTGGTAAACAGAGCAGGTCCTGCATAATCTATCTGAAGAAAACAAGGCTAACCGGTTAACCACGTGCAACTTATTGCTTCAGCGGAACAATGCAGAAGCGTTTTTTGATCACTGGAGATGAAAAATGGGTCCTCTATGATAATCCAAAATGCAAAAGGATGTTTACACCCTAAAAAGGCGCTTTTGTGCATTTGGTGGAGTATTCGTGGGGTCATTTTGAAGTGCTGAAACCTGGACAAACTGTGAGTGCAGACCTTTACCATGAACAGAAAAGGTGTTGTTCGATAACAAGATAATGCAAGACGAACCCTGGAAAAAATTAATGAATTGAGCTGGGAGGTATTGCTTTACCCACCATACTCACACCTAATATTGTACCATTGGATTTTCATTTATTCCAATCGCTACATTTTCTAAGTCTCAAAAAAATTTGGATGATGTCCAAAATGCCATCTCCAGGTATTGTGCTCAAAAATCAAATGATTTTTATCGATCCGGCATTGAAAACTAAATGGCAAAAGGTTGTCGATAACGAGGGTTGATTTTGTTGATTAAAAATAAAAACTTGTTTAAAATGTATCTATTTGAATTTAATGTTATGACAGTGCAATTTATAAGGGCCGCCCAAAGCCCTTCCACAAGTGACTAGAAGGAGGAGGAAGGAGATTTCCACGGGAAGAAGCCTGTAGGCTTCGAGCTGAACGGGAGGTGACACGTGGGAATTTCTTTTTTTTGGTGAAAAAGCAGCAAGGATCAACCATCTTCCACAAGCGAGAATCGTGATGCAAGTTTTTTTTTTCATTTTAATTTGTTTTTCGTAAAAAAAAAAGAATTTTTTTATCATTTAGTTTGCAACGAAGAGTAATTTTTTTTGTTTGTTTAACCTTCACCAAGTCGGTTTTGCAGCTTGTTTATTTCATTTTATTAATAATAATAATAATTAGTCTTGTAAGAATTGCTTCTGTTTTTTAATTTAAAAGAAGATAATAATAATCAGTCAGTTTCCTTTAATTAAAAAAAAAAGTCAAATTGTCATTTCCAAACTGATGACTTTAATTTCAAATTTTGTTAATTTCTCAATATAAGAATTGTTTCTTTTTTAATATTTCTTTTGTTTATTATTCATTCATTTGTCTAAACAAGGAAAAGATCCACTCCCTCGGGGAAGGTCCAAACAATAACACAATAATGTAAAAAATGACATTACTTTGTGGTTCCCCAAGATTTAGATTTCTGACTGAGAAGAAGGAAAGGGCGGAAAGTTGGGAGGGAACAGGAAACTTGCTCTGGACCTTGGGGATTCAGGACTAATTCTTTTTTGTAAAAAAAATCTTTAAGAAATGTTTTATTAGAGGCGTTGGTGATGATGCAAAGGATATTAGACTAAAATATTCAATTTAAGAATGCTTGCTCCCAGTATTAAAATATTAAAGGGTAGAAACTTCACAGTTAACATGCTAACACAATAAAATTAAATTATAAATTGAATGGTTGTCAATTAAAAAGTAATTAACCAAATTCAGATGTGTGATACTCATTAAGAAACAATTTTGGCATAATTAAGCAGTTAAATATGACAAGTTTAATACAAATTTATATAATGATTTGAAGAAAACTAGCATCTAAAGTATGTTGTTTAGTTTATGTCAAAAGTTCTAGTGACTAACCTGTTCGACCCGAGCGATAGCGATCTGTTCTTCCAATTTCTTTTCGGCTCTTGCCTTTTTGATATCATAGAACACCTTTCCTGAGCAGAAGATTAATTTTTTCACACCGCTAGGGTTTTGTGCAGCAGGCCCTTTTTCAGGGATCACCCTGTAGGTTGAATTAAACAATAAATTTAAGAAAATAATATTGAAAATAATCATAATAATTTACCTTAGAAATTGTGTATCTTCAGTCATTTCGTCAAAACTGGACTTTGCTTCTGGGTGTCTTAACAATGATTTTGGGGTCATAAGTATGAGAGGCTTTCTGAACGGTAATGCAATTTGTCTCCGTAAAATGTGGAAGTAATTAGCTGGTGTAGAACAGTTTGCCACTATCCAATTTATATCATGAAGCTGTCTTATAGCGAATTCTTCACTTTGTGGGGGCATGTAATCTTGATCATCGGCGCTCATCTGCAAAAATCTCTCCAAGCGTGCAGATGAATGCTCGGGGCCCATACCTTCCATTCCGTGAGGGAGGAGCATAACGAGACCAGACTGTCGCACCCATTTTGCCTGGCCAGATGAAATAAACTGGTCAATGATACATTGCGCCGTATTGTTGAAATCGCCAAACTGTGCTTCCCAGCAAACCAACGCATTTGGATTCGTCATGGAATAGCCAAGCTCAAAGCCTAAAAATTAATTAATTAAAATATTAATACAGTCAATTCTGCTAAACATATATGGATTTATTTTAATTTTCAGAAAAATCGTACCTAGAACGCCAAATTCTGAAAGAGAACTGTTGCATACACTGTAAGGGGCCTGATCCGGGTAAAGATTGCACAGGGGTCGGTATGTTGCTTTGTCCACTGTTTGATGATGGAGCACATGATGGCGGTGAGAGAATGTCCCTCTTTCAACGTCTTGTCCAGAAAGTCTCACATGAATACCTAGAAAAACGCTAATTATTATAAACAACATATTTGATAATTTTTTGTTTGTTTACCTTCTTTTAGTAAAGCTCCAAAAGCCATTGCCTCACCCAAAGCCCAATCAACAGTTCTCTGTTCAACCATCTGCAGCCTAGCCTTCAATATGCGCTCAATACCTTTGTGAATGACAAATTCTGCTGCATTCGGTGGGGGAGATGAGAACCGCTTTCCAATATGAACAAGGGTATCTTCCTTGACGCCTGTAGGGGACATTTTTAGAGGGTCTTTACCTTCAAAAAACCCTGACCATGGGGAATCTAGCCAATCTTTGAATTTTATGTGCGTTTCCTTTCCGGCTTTACCATATGCCTCTTCACAGATTTTATCGTATTTTTCCTTAACATCTTTAACCTCATCGGCATTGACAACACCTTCTGAGATGAGTTTTTCTGCATATTTATCTAATACAGGCTTGGTCTGTTTAATTATTTTATACATAAGCGGTTGTGTAAACATTGGTTCGTCCATTTCGTTGTGTCCATTTCTTCGATAGCACACCTAGAAAATGTCAACAGTTTAAACGCATATTCAATTAAAACAATCACTATAAAACTTACAATATCTATCACAACATCCTTATGAAATGTGTTTCTCCATTCTGCCGCAATATTGCAGATGTGCATAACAGCTTCCGGATCATCAGAATTTACATGAAATATGGGGGCATTGACCACTCTAGCAACATCTTTAAAAAAATGGATTTTTTTTAGATTATGTTAAACCTCACATTAAATAAACAATACCTGTGCAATATGCTGACGATCTTGAAAACCTTGGATCTGTTGTGAACCCGACTTGGTTGTTGACTACAATGTGGATTGTGCCGTGAGTTGTGTAATCTGGTAAATCCGACAAGTGAAATGTTTCGAAAACGACACCTTGTCCACAGAACGCTGCATCCCCATGAAGTAAAATAGACATAACCTAAAATAAAATAAAATATAATTTCTCTAGAAGTATGATATAATTTATAAATAAAGGATAAGTTTATTACCTTTTTGCCTTCTCCATCTCCCCTGTAGAATTGCTCAGCACGGGTTTTTCCTTGAACAACAGGGTCTACAGCTTCTAGATGAGACGGATTAGCAACGACAGCTAATCGAATGTTCTTGTTGGTGACTCTGTTTAAGCGTTCAATATATGTACCGAGATGATATTTTACATCTCCTGACCCCTAGGGTAACATCCGATTAAGCTATGGGCTTAAATTATTTCATATAATGTGACTTACATCATCAGCCGCTTCAAGAGCTGCAAACTGAGTGAAAATCTGCTCCAATGGTTTTCTGCAAACATTAGCTAAGACATTCAAACGGCCCCTATGAGGCATGCCCATGACAACGGACTCCACACCAAGTTCAGTCGATTTATCGATGATTTGCTTCATTGCTGGGATTAATATTTCTGCCCCTTCGAGACCAAATCGCTTTTCGCTTGACCACTTTCTGGCAAGAAATGCTTCAAACCTGTGTACACGTAAAAATAAGAACCCAGGACAAAATGGGTTTTTAACCAACAACAAATTTACCCAGTTGCTCGTGTTAATCTGGCAAGTATCATCCTTTTGGCGTTTGCATCAAAGTCCATTACACCGGGGGTTTCTAAACGTTGTCTGATCCAATTACACTGTTCCAAAGAATTAATGAACATAAACTCCACACCAATATGTCGACAATAAACATTCTCTAGTCTCTTAAGGATCTCTCGTAAAGTCAGAATCTTCTCCTTTCCACCAATAAACGTTGTTGTGGGTAACTTAAAGGATCGATCCATATCTTGTTCATCTAAATCCACATTAAAATAATTGTATTAATACTATTTAAAACGCAAAGAAAATTTAATTTGCTTAAGTAATGTAATATTTTCTGAAGAATTAATGTATCAATTGTCTTCAATTTGGGAGAAGTCCGATGATTGAAGCTAATTATATTTACTATTGGGTTGTCCGGAAAATAATGCAGGATTTTGGTATTAAACAAAAAAAAAGAAACTAGTTACTTTAAAGCAATGTTCTTTAATCAAAATAATTTCCCATACTCTCAATACATTTCTCCCAACGTGTTGGTAACTTATTAATTCCGTCTGAGTAGAATTCAGAATTTTTAGAATTGATAAAGTCAATAAATGCATTTTCCAGTTCCGTTTGATTTTTGAATATTATGTGTTGTAAGTAGTGGTCCAGGTGTCTAAAAAAATGGTAGTCAGTAGGCGAGAGGTCCGGAGAGTAGGGTGGGTGAGGCAAAGTTTCATAGCCAAGCTCCAATAATTTTTGTGACGTTACACGTGACACATGTGGTCGAGCGTTGTCATGCAACAAAATGGGCCCTTTCCGATTGACCAAAGAGGGCTTCATTACTGCCAATTTTTGATGCATGGTATTAATTTGGTTACAGTATGATTCAGCATTGATGGTTTCGCCAGGATTTAAGAAGCTGTAGTGTATTAAACCAAATGAAGCCCACCATACCGTAACCATTACCTTTTTTTGATGAGTTGGGGGCTTTGGAAAATGTATTGGAGCTTCTCCTTTGTCGAGCCACTGTCCAGAACGTCTAGTGTTATCGTAGAGAATCCACTTTTCGTCACATGTAACAATTCTGGCCAGAAATGGGTCATTTTTGTTTCGACAAAGAAGTGATGCACAAACATCAAAGCGCTGATTTTTTTGGCGATCGTTTAATGAGTGTGGAACCCAATTTTCGAGTTTTTTCACTTTTCCAATCGCCTTGAGGTGGTCAGCAAGTTCTCGAACAGTTGTTTTGGGGTTTTCTTCCACCACTGATCGCAGAACATCATCATTAAGAGAGGAAGGCCTTCCACGACCTTCTTCATCTTCAAGGCTGAAATCTCCCTCCCGAAATTTTTTAAACCACCTTTGCACAGTGCACTCATTAACACAACCCTCGCCCCAGACTTGGTTAATGTTTCTAGCCGTTTGGGCTCCGCTTCGGCCGAGTTTAAACTCGTAAAAGAAAATCGTACGAAATTCTCGCTTTGACATTATAAGGATGACTGAATTATTTCCAAGTAGCGGAATGCTACAGAGGTAAACAAACAATATCATTTGGAAGAGGATTAATAAGTGTTGACATTCATACAAATGAGTAATCCTGTAAACGTAAACAGAATATTTTATATAGATTTTTTTTAATGAAAACTTAAAATCCTGCATTATTTTCCGGACAACCCAATATATTAGTTGTTTTTTTAAAGTTTTGTGCTGAAAATTATTATTTTTTAGAAAATAGAATTAACTATTCAAGCTCAAACCAAGCATTCTAAAGCCACATGAACAATACACTAAATGCATCCATAAAACGTGCAGAAAGAAAAAAAAAAATTGTTAATTTAGCAGATACTGATGACACAAATGAGTATAACACAACGGACAAGAAGGATCAGAACAAGAACACAAAACAAGTACTCCAAAAATGTGTCATCAATAAATACTTGATTATTCATAATTAAGTAAAATAAAAATGAAATGTAGCTACATACTCTGTTTCACGCCAAGGATTCTTTTCTGGAGAAGTTGTGAATGAGACTTGGGCTCAGAACTAGACTTGGATTCATTCTGTTCTTTAACCTTGTCTAAACAAAATAACTAATTGGCAAAACTGCAGGAAGGATTAAAAGCAGACATAAAAAGAAATAAAATATTCAAAACGTTCACAAATGATGTTAGTATTAATTTTGAAAAAAAAAAAATGAATACAATTTGAAACATATATGCATTGTTTCATGATTATTTTACTAATGAGTTTAGTTTTATGCCTTAAATAATTGTAATATTAATTTTGTAGGCTTGTACTTTCATTTAGTAGACCTCTTGCTAGAATTCTGTTGGGACAATTGACATTAATTGGACAATTTATACCAATCGAGAATTTAGTATGAAAAACAAATACAACTATGGATGATAAAGAATTGTTATGCAAATAGTTAACTTTGTTTACAGCACAACAAGCGGATGAAAGAAGATGATGAAAATATAACATGCAAATGGAAAGTATAAGCCTTCAAAATTTGTAAGTTTATTAAAGTAAATTTGATTTTTTAAATAATGTATATGCATATGTATGCACCATATACACACTGTTCCTCATATTATGTTTAAAAAAAATTAAAAGATACACAAAAGTACTATAAAACAAAATTTGCACATTTGCAATCCAATAATTTAATAAGCAGATTTTCAATTAAAAAAAAAAAAAAATTTGATTGTTTAAAATTATTTTTGTAATGCAGAAGCAATGCTTGGAACTGACAATATAACTGGACAGATGAGTCATAATTCAATTTTATTCATGATTATTGCAGTTGCATGCAATTTTGGTATGAACTCATAAAGATTTGGAAAAATTAAGGAACATGCAAGATATTTTCAACTAGACAAATCACAAAGGTGGGGGGGGATAAATAACTTACTTTAAGAAAATGCTTTAAGCATATACTTACCAAATGAGTAGTGGCTATAGAGTAGTTCCGGAGGGTGCCTATCGTCGAGGTCTGCAGATGAAATTCCCAGCGGATCCAACTGAGCAATGTGGTGACCGCGGATCTGAACACAACATGATTCATGCCAACACACAAAAAAATATTCCCCAAGTTTATTTTAAAAACTAATTTATTAGTTCACAACAACAAAAAAGTCACAGATTGAAAACATATTAGTCGTAGAATAATAGTAGAAAAGAAAAACTGATCTAGTTTTACCTTAGATTGGAAATTGGAAAAATCGGCCTTAAAACATGCCCCAAACAAGACAAAAAGCACAAACAGACAGACATAAGCAATAATAAGCTAAATCACCCATGTACCCCATGCAAAGTTATCAGACTTCTCTTGAATTATTGAACTAACACTTATTTTGGTAAAATGATTTATCGATTTGGTTAGATGTGACGTGAGATTAAAAATAGTCTCATTGAAGGGGGCGCTTTTCGAATTGAAAGCCTTACCGAGCATTTGTTGTCTGACAACCATTTCATGTGGAGTTCCCTTACGGTCCTTATAAGTTGAATGCAAGTCTGCATACATGATGTTCAAAGGATCGAGTTCAGACACCAGGTGGCCCCGTGCCTAATTTTATAACACCAATAACATTCCATTTCAAACAATAAATTTGAACAGTTTTTACAAGTCACTATTCTACATATAATTTTCCCCTTATCATGCTTTTTTCCCATTTTTTAAATTTATTTATTGCATTTCTTGGTTTTTCATGCTTATAAAAACAGACTTTTTAAAACGCTAGCTTTATACCCATACACATATATATTTCAAACAAAAAACTTTACCATATAATTAAATAAATTAATTTACGATAATTAATTGCCCAATTAAATAATCATTAAGAAACCGTCTAAAGCCACAATCAAATGACACAGCTATACCTCTACTTCACAACAATTCCTTGTCTTATAGACTTTGAGTTTATTTTTAAAAATCTTTACAAATCCCAAACATAGAAAAAAATGTTTACAAAATCTTGATGTTAATTTAGATTTGTTTAAATATATCCACGTAAAGATTGCAAATTTTACCTTTTATAAACTAGAATGCATTAAAAAATTTTCTTCCCATACAACATACACATCCATAATACATAACAAAACGAGCCATACAAATTGTTCCTGGAAAATCAAGCATCACCTTTCCTCATTCACTTATACTGTTTCCTTCTATGGGGTCTTAGGTAAAAATTATATTAAAAAAAAAGAATATTGTAAAAACTATTGAAGTGCAAAACTGAAATTTTATGAAAATGTGTACGTTTCAATGGTGCAAATAATTGTAGAAGATAATGTTAGTTTGTTAATTTTATCTTGTTACATTTGATAACCAATTTCCACTTTTCAAGATAAAAAGAACAGTCAAACTAGAATTGTACAAATTGAATAAATTAAAGTTCTAATCCTTGTGTCAAAAGTCATTTCATATATTTTTTTCTTTTTTTTTATGTGTAAAATATAATGTCAGATTAAAAGTCTTTATCCTAATCCTTGAACTTGTTATCAAGTAATTTAATGTCAATAGTGAGCTATGTTATTGTGGAACAAACAGAATAGAAAGTCTCAAAAATCCTTATTTTCTTTCTTGCCTGAGGTGAATAAATGATAAATTAATGTGATCTGTTTTGATGTTGGTGAAATCTAATTTTCTATGACTACAGTGTTTACTGTGTTAACGTACCTGATATGATCTTATTATAGCTTGAACAGCCAGATGGTCATCGATCACTTTTTCGCTAACTTGCGGAGAACCAAGATTTGAAGTAAACATTGAAAGTGGTACATGACCTTTCTGGGGTCCTGCGATTGATGGAGGAGCTATGTATGCCTGGCCAGGAGGAGCATTAGAATTACGAAAAAAGGCATCCCATGACTAACAAAAAACAAAAAAATTTAAAAAAGTTCGTTTTAAAAATTATGAAGTTTACAAATCAATTAAACTCACTGCATGGACGCTTGAAGGATCCTGAAGCCAGGCATTATACATATCCTCCACATATGTTGATGAGGAACCACTTAGAAAAGGTTCTGCTGCACCCGATGAACTCGCATATTTGCGAGTCATGTAACTTGCAGCTGCTGTGTACGGAGTTAAATGGGGATTTGATGATGCACCCTTGACCCATGTCGCAAATTTCTTTCGGCCAACCAAATTTGGCACGAATGGCACCAAATTATTACATACAAAAGACTGGATGCGGTGCATAATCCTGAAACAAATATTTAACAAAAATTTAATAATCACACAAAAGTAAATAGCAATGTTCAAATTTAATTATCGATCCATTAAAATTTATTCTTATCATAATAAAATATTTTAAAAATCTGACGGTGCACTTTTTTAAGATATATTTCACTACCTTTTAGAAAACCATAGTAAGTTTATAAAAAGTATTTCAGTAGTTATATAAAAAATGTAACAAACATACGGTAATCAACAATAGCTTTGCACTTTTAGGACAAAATATATGACACAAATGTAAATTATTCAGAGACCTAACTCAAGACTTCGTATTTGTTAATGTTTTGATTAACAAACTTGCACAAAATGGACTTATTGATGACCAATTATTTTTTAATTAGAAAAAAGGAATCATCATATTGATTCATTATGATCGTATGCAAAAGTGAAGCTTTTAGTATTTGTATGTAAATATTCATCGATTATAGTCTCAAGAGAAACAAAAAGAGTACCAACATGACTAGACATATTGTCAATTATGTAAATTTATGCTGCTTATGAATTGTTTCATGTCAGATCAATTTTATTCTGTGCTTTGGAAAATGAAAAATATAATTTATGATTATGAAATTTACACTCAGAATAAAACGACTTAAACCAAAAATATGACATTTAAATAATATATGACTTGAAAGTTAAGTACATATAGTTTTATTTTTAATTTGGCAAAATATAAGTCCACACCAATGTAATTAAAACAGGTTTAACTTGTAACTGTTTAACATTCAGATGTTTTGACAATCAAATACCTACTTATTTTATCCCTGCATATTTAAAATTCACTATTTTTTAAATATAGCTGATATATATTCAGCCGTGCAATAAGTGGGCCTAAAATTTGTTCGGTAAGTATGTTTTAACGATATAAACATAAAAGTTGTCTGGACTTACACTTTTCCCCTAGATTTCGTAACTCATTTTTAGAATTGAGCGTCAGTTAATGGAGTATGATCATGCCTCCGGCATTTCTTCCATTCTCGGCATTGAGTTTGTCTCATGTTTAGATTTTTAAGTGAAATTCTGTTACTAGTATTATTATTGTGACTGCACAAAGTGTTATTTGTTTTTGTTTTTTACTCAGCTGGTATCCCGAATATAATTTGTCTTCAACAAATAACATTGCAGAATTGTACTGTCATAAATAAAAATATACCAGACAGAATTGGCAAAGTATTTGTTAAGTGTTTTGTCAAGCATGTTAAGAGATATTATGCAATCTAACTTTTTTTTACAAAAGATCGAGAAAATACAAGAAGGAAAGAAGCAACATTTAATCGAAATGGAAAGTGAGTAACATTGTTGCAAATCAAGGTAAAATTTTACATAAAACATACATCAAACGTTTGTGTATATTTGAACATTTGTGCCACTTTTGATCCCTGAATAAACATAATTAACCCTTATCTCACCCACTTCTAAAAATGAGCAATAATGTGTTAATTTATTATGATTAACATTTTTTTTTTAAATTGTAAAAACTCAAGTATTTGGGCAAAGGTAAGCATCTAAATTTGAAACTAATTACTCATTCAATTTTGCCTTCCAGCTCAGCTGTAAGTTATAACCAAGGCCAAAGAAGTCCAAAAGCACAATTTCTCATTATGACACAACTTGTGAAATGATACGATTTTAGATAACATGACTCCTTATCTAACAGAAAATACATTTTACTACAATATATGCAAATAAAACTAGTTTTTAAAGAAGAGTAAACAAAAAAACTATATCCTCTACGTTCATAATTAGACAGCTTGATGAGATTTAGAGGTCATAGGAAAATTTGAAAATACTCTTTGGAAAAACAAGAGTTTATATTTTAAACAAAGGAAGTTTTCGCAAGATAAATAATCAAATTTACACTATGCTTTTCATCAATTATACTCAATATCATAAGCAACAATATTAAGATGGCTCCAGACATGCGGGACTTGCCCGAATGCCAAGCAAAAGTTCGTCAAATTTCGACTAGTGAGGAAGGTGCTTGGTTATTCGCCAAACAATATTCATTGCTTGTTTAATTGACAGTTCTTTGTCCGCCAATCCTATTTATTTTTCAATAATAAAGGATTCCTAACTAATATACATAGATGTATTAATGAAAGAACATCGTAGCGTTGTTTCTGTCAGTTAGTAATAGATTGGCTTAACATAAGTCTTCGAGTTCCTTGATCTGTATCGAGCTGAACCAATAATTTGGAACACTTCTCTTCTGAATATCAAAAATGCATGGAAACGGACCGAAAGTGAGATGGGGCAACAGAACTCTGTGACTGAGTTGTAGCCACTACACAGAACAGTAACCGCAGCTGCAGCAATGACAGTTTAACTGTTGTCCATCAAGATTGGTATTATATTAAGGCCTTGCACGGAGCTTGGCAAATATGCATTCACTTTTCCTGCACAAACTGGCTGGTTGTACGAACCCTGCATGTATGTATACACTCTATTTTGCATCGCAATCTATTGTCAATTGTTATTTAACTAGTACAAAAATAAATCTAGAAAGATTTTGACTTTGAAAATTTTAATTAGTAACAGTAATGTGGCAATGACATAGCAGAATAGTTAAAATCAGTTAAACCACCCGTTAAATTTGTAATAATTGCCTAACTTAACTTCTACAAGCGATGCGTATAAAACAATAATTTATAAAATTCTCACAAGATCTCAACATGACATCTTGTAGGTGAATAATTAATTTAAATAAGGTCAACCAGAGAAGAACTCTCGATTAGACAAAACTGAGCTTAGATATACTGGAAGTATAACAAAAATTGCAATTGAAAAAAGAACTAACCCCACCTACAAAACTTATAAAGGACACAGACTATTTTTTTATCATTTTCTCTTTGCTTATTATATAATATTTATTTACAATATAAGCTCTACAGGCAAGGCCCCAAAAAGAGCAGTTAAAAGCATACAAAAAATAATCATCAAATGAATAATCTAAAATAACAAAACTAACAAGATATATAATAATATGATAAAAACAAAATACTAGAATATTAAGAGTTCATCTATAGAAACAACATAAAAGAACATTAAGCATTAGAGATATTCTTTTTCAAAGTGAATAAAGTCTGAGAAAAAAATCAAAATATGCAGGAATTGAGTTTCCCAAGGAGGCGAGTCAGCTAAGCATATAATCGGTGCAATGTGCTCCACAAAAAAGTTTGAACCCTTCTCAAAATACACTGAGGAACTCACCAAGAGAACAGAATCTCCGGAGAGGAGATCAGAGAATTGAGAACTTTTCATATAAAACCAATACGCCAAGGGTAGGTGTGCCAAATTTAAAAAACAAGTATCTAGTAGCCCTACGCTGGACAGATTCAACCAGATTAATCATAGTTTATAAAAAGGGGGTCTTAGACAATATTACCATACTCAAGATGACTGTGGACGAATGATAGTTATAAACATTCTAATAGTAAATAGATTACCCAAGACTGAAGACATTTGACAAAACCTAATTCTTTAAAGCCTTACTTCTAATCTTGGAAATGTGATCACAATTTTTTTTAAACCTCTCATTCATCATTATAATCAACAACTTCGGTTGATATAACTGTAAATCTTTAAGGAATAGTGTTACTTTACTTGGCAATGTTGGGATTGAGTTGAACTTCAAAAACTACCAACTAAAAACTCAATTATGTCAATTTGTATGTATTTTTAAAGATTGACCTAAAATAGGGCAAAAGCTTAGCAGATAATTGAATTTGCTTTTTCATCCAGAGGATTCTGAGGGAATAAACACCAAAATGGCGTACTGGTTATACACCACAATGGTTTGACCCTTGGTCACATATAGAGCACTAGCACGGTGGCGATAGGATATATTATTAACCACATCTAAGGAGGCATCATCACAAAATTCTGGAAAGAGTTAAATGAGACAACAGTATCTGACAAAATGAGAGAAAGGTACTACTTTGATAGACTCTTCCGAGTGGACAGATAATAGAGACCTTTGGAAGAAAGGTGGCCTCAAGTTTCAAGAAGAGTAATACGGTACTCTCTAAACCCTTATATGGTAACCCAATTATGGTACCCAGATGGATCAAAGATGGAACAGGGAGTGTATAGGGATAAAAGGGCCAAACTACACCCAGGCGAATCCCCTTGGTCTAACCCCAATGATTTTCCAAGCAGAAGTCCAAGCAATACAACTCCGTTCACAGAAGTTAATAAAGAAAAATATGAAATGTACCCAGATATGCATACTCTCAGACAGCCAGGCAGTCATAAAGGCAAAAAATGCGTATGCTTTCAATTCAATACTTGTCTAGGAGTGTCTAAACTGCCTAATGACTCTGGGAAAGCAAACAAGATTGCCTTAAAGTGGGTTTCCAGAAATGAAGAATATAAGGAAATGAACAGGTTGATCAATTAGCCAAACAAAAAATGGGCAACCCTCTCACCTATGGGACCAGAATTACAACTATATCGGAGTGTGTGCTTAAATTGGAACATACCGGGTATGAGGCAACTAAGAGGTTTATAAACCTCTCAAAACGGAAGATGAAGGAATTCCTCTCTAAGCAGGCAGAATTTGAGAAGAATTATAAGCCTCTATACCGGTCACTGACGTCTTAACTATCATCTTAAGAAGTTAAAGCAGAGACGGAAACATGCAGGCTCTGTCAGGAGGAATCAGACATATCAGCACATATCATTTATGAATGTAATGCGTTAGCCCGTTAACAGTACTGCCACTTCCTTAGGACATTTCTCATACCAAGGAGATCCAGAAGAGGCACTAAGGAAAGTGCTCAGTTTCATAGGACAGACAATAGGTCTGATTTAGGTTGCAGTGGAGGAAAGAAAAGCCATAATCAATAATGAAAAAAGTAAAGATCAAACAGTAAAATATGGTGGGACGAAAGAAACCAAGATGATCAAATGACCAATGTAAAAAAAAACAAACATTAAAAGTTAAAGAAAAAGCAAGTCTAAGATGTGAATGTGTTACACACTGAAAGCCCATTACTTCTATCAATATGCATAATATAACTTACTGTTAGGAAAAAGTATCATTTTTTACATTTTATAATTACATAACGAACATTTTTTTCAGACTGATATAATAAAGGCATAAAGTGTATTTTAATATAATAATATTTTTCTTTCAGATAATTTTCAAAATTTCATCGCAGAATGTTCATATTGTCACCCTACACAAGAAGTAGACTGAATAATAGTCAGGGGCACTTATAAATTATGCAACACTTCTATTTGCCCAATGGATTTTGATTGTGAAACTCTGTTCTGTAATACTTAAATTAACTTTTTAAAACAGGATTTTTTTTTGTTAACTAGGTTCAAACCGAAGGATGCGGATATTGTGACGCGTGATAAGCCCATGAAGTGGGAGTTGTTGCATAATTGCAAATCAGCTTTGGGGTGTGGATATTATCTGGTTGGTAAAATTCAATTTTTGAATTTGAAATTTTCTACCATGCACAAGGGGGTAGGTACTGTTTCAAATTTGAATTAATTTAATTAATTGTACTTTTTATCTAAAGTCTCGGCTGAGATGAAAACTTTGTCACGAACGGTTTTTGAACCCCACAACCTTCGGCTCAATACACTGCTGCTCTAACCACTTGAGCATAACACTACGATAGCAGCGATAGCTCAACGGCGTTATGCTCAAGTGGTTAGAGCAGCGGCATATTGAGCCGAAGGTCATGGGCTCGAATCCCACTCGTGAAACTTTTTAATCTCATCCAAGACTTTAGATAAAGAATATAATTAATTGTAATAATTAAATAGGCCAATTATAACTGCTAAGCACATGGATTTGAAATTATTATTGCATGTTGAAATTTAAATTTGTGCTTGGGCTTAGTAAGAGAAATTAAGAAGTCGTTTTTTTTGTATTAAACCTAATAAATTGTTAGATTATTGTAGAGTTGTAATTGAAAATGTTTTGGACTGCAGTCCCTTAAAACGGACACTAAAAATAAACTATTTCACAGGGTCAAGTCGACACTTGCCAAAAAGGAAATTCTAAACAGCCAAAAAAAAAAAAAATTAAAATGAATAAAAAATAAAACGTGAAAAAAATAGGCTAAATCAGACAAAGTTTGCAAGGCGTTAAAGGTCAACGTAAGAATTTTCCAGCCTGTCTATCAAGGATTTTCCAGGAAGGTAAAACTGGGTCATGCTTTAAAATTTGATAAAAGGGATCTCCGTGAAAAAAAATGAGTTTGAATTGAAGATTAAAAAAGGTGAAAAGATTTATGACAGGTGAGACGTTTTAATTAGGAAAAAAGTGAGCGAGACCTTGCAAAAACCCCTAGCCATGGGTATCTGGTTGGGGGAAAAATTGGCCAATTTACCTGTTTGTTATTTTACGTCAATGAAAAATTGTTCTACTCCGAAATTTAATAATTTGATTTTTTCTCTCCTGATGACCGGGAATATTTCGCAGATCTTGGGCTGATTTTCAGAACCGCTAGGCCGACCTCACATCACGACGGAACACCGAGACCGCGGAGTTTTCGAGACTGAAAGGGCGAAACTGAGAAGGCTCGGCGAGGCTGGCGTAAAGAGCCGGCAATGTTGCCACACGGCAATTTCCCCTTCGGCCAAACCAATTCCCTGCTTATTCAAGGAAAAACATTCACAAATAATTATCCTCCTTGTTTTGAAAATTTCACTGCCCAAAAATAGACACTGACTCTCACAATTGGTGATTTCAACGTTCATACCCAGAACTTGCCAACTCATCGCTCAAACCATACAAAAATTTTCAATTACAGCAAATCCAAAAGAATTACAAAACATCGAAGCACTTCTGTACAATTACAAGCCTAAATATTCTACAAAAATTATATAAGAATTTGCTCACAAAGATATCAAACTGAACATCTTGCTTGAAATGCAAAAACGTTGATAACACAATTAAATACAAGCATTTACTCAGAAAGATAAGTTCAATTGTGAGGTCAAACCATCGGTTAAACAAGAAAAGAATGAATACAAATATAAACATCTCATGAACAATAACACGTCCAAATTCAGAGTTCAGTTGTGTTAATAAAAAGGAAATTGTTATAACGAGTACCTAATATCGAACATCTTGCTTGAAATGCAAAAACATTGATTCCACAATTAAATATAAGCATTTACTCAGAAAGATAAGTTCAATTGTGAGGTCAAACCATCGGTTGAACAGACAAAACTTACAAGTCATAAACATTAACATATTTATGTTTAGAATCAAGTCAATATAAGACAAAATTGTTAGAATAAGAAATACATAAATACTGGATCGGTTGAACCAGACAAGAATGAATACACATAAAAAGATATCATGAACAACAACATCTCCAAATTCAGAGTTCAGTTGTGTTAATAAAAAGGAAATTGTTATAACGAGTATCTAAAAATTGAACATCTTGCTTGAAATGCAAAAACATTGATTACGCAATCAAATATGAGCATTTATTCGGAAAGACCCTACTTGTGAGGTGAAACCATCACTTGAACAGAAAAAAACTTAGAAGACAAACATTAACATATTTATGTTCAGAGTTCAGTCGTGTCAATATAAGACAAAATTGTTACAATAAGAAATACCTAAATATTGGATCAGTTGAACAAAACAAGAATGAACCTACATATCCATATTCAGAGATCACCTACATAAATAAAAAAGAAATTGTAATAGAAGAGCATTCTAAAATACTGGTAATCTTGCTTGAATTAATTCCACAGTTAATTATATACAGAGAGATCCGACCTTCAGTTGACAACACAAAACTCAGAAGCCATAAACATTAGCATTTGGGTGTTCCGAGTCCAGTCATGTCAATATAAGACAAAATTGTTAGAATAGGAAATTCCTAAAATATTGGATCAGTTGAACAAGACAAGAATGAATTTACATGCCATGAATAATAATAACATGTCTATAGTTAGGGTTCAGTCATGTCAATAAAAAACAAATTGTTAGAATAACAAGTACCTAAATATTGAACATCGCTTGAAATGAAAAAACATTGATTCCAAAATTAAATATAAGCATTTATTCGGAACGATCCTACTTGTGAGGTCCGACCATCAGTTGAATAAGACAAAACTTAAGTCATAAACATTAACATATTTATGTTCAGAGTTCAGTCAAGTAATATAAGAGAAATTAAACGAGAGAATAAAAAATACCTAAATACTGAACATATTACTGGAATGTAAAATAATTTATGCAATTAAATATAATAATTTTTCCGAAAGTCCCTAATTGTCAAGTCCGACCTTCAGTTGACCAGACAAAACTTAGAAGTCATAAACATTAGCATTTGTATGTTCATAGTTCAGTTTTGTCATTATAAGACAAAATTGTTAAAATAAGAAATAAATATTGGATCAGTTGAACCAGGCAAGAATGAACTTTGATATCATGAACATTAACATATCCATATTCAGATATCAGTTATGTCAATAAAAAGGAAATTGTAATAGAAAAGCTGGGCATCTTGCTTGAAATGCGGAAGAATTAATTCAATTAATTATAATCATTTATTCAGAAAGATCCTAATTGTGAGATTGAACTATCAGTTGAACACAGCAAGAATGAACATGGATGTAATGAACTAAAAGGGAAATTTTAAGTGTACAGTATCTAAAATACTGAGCATCTTACTTGCAATGCAAAAGAATTGAGTCCTCAATATTAATAAGCGAAAATGAACATTGACAAAGTTTTAATAAACACAACAGTAGGCACTAGGGTCAAAAGATACTATGTTAACAGGCAAGAATGTCTTGCAAAATTAATGACCTTAATATGAAAGCAAAAATTAATTTTATGTATTCAACTTGCTATTCATAGTAATAAAAATATTGATTGAATCATTGAAAAAAATTGTGTACTTACATTTTAAGTTTGATTATGAAAAGAGATTGAATTAAATAACGATTCAGTCTGAAAATGAAAATGAACTGAATATAGTTCTTATAAAAACTGAGATGGCAAGAATATTTTTGGTATATCATTTATTTAAATTTAATGATCTGAATTGTGTACTTACTGGTTAATTCAGATTAAACCAATAAATTGATCAACAAATAAACACCAACAAAATGTTACAACGTCTACAAAAAATGGAAAAGGAAAATGTTAAAACATACAATATGAACTACTGCCAGTCTTATTAAACCAGCATTAAAAGTGCTTACATTCTTCAAAAAGTTTGCAAATGATACCAAGCATTGTCGAAAAAAATTCCAATAACAAAAAAGAAAACTGGAAAAGAAAAAAAAATCTTTAGCAATAATTAATAGCATAGAAAGGTATGAGAACCAAACTTGTCAATACTGATAGATAATTTATTTTGTTCCACCTTAAAATTCAAATAAAACAAAAAAGTTCATTTTATATGTTAGTGACATTTTTTTTTTTTTAACAGGTTTTGCAACAGCAGAAGTCCCCCCCCCAGGGGAATTTTTGAAACATTTGTTTGGGCAAGCCAATTGGGTTGGAATTCAAGACCGGCAAAATTTGAACTCAGGGGCCCTTATTGTGATGAGTCACCTTACAAACACCTTAAGAATTGTGGCCACCGATGCCTCTCTACCATCAAACTTATAATAAGTATTTTATATTTTTTCAATGTTTGACAATATTAACACGTAAATAGCACAGTAACACTATGTCTCTGGAAATTTATAATATTACTAAAATATTGTCAATAAATTGGTAATTTTTAATGGTTTATTGCCAAATGATATCAATAGCAAGATGAATGCTTGAGATGTCAGATATATATTTTTTTTTCTCCAAAACATGCATTACCCAACTATGCTAAATAATATCAACTAGTATTAAAAAATTGTACTTACATTTATGTTGTAAAATGAGGAAAAAAAAATTCCAAGAATGAAATTTACTTAAATTTCTGGATTACGATGTACCTGAAAATCATTTAGTTTAATCCATATATGTTTAGCAATCATAAATGACCATATTAATGATTTAAATTAATTCACTGAACACCAACTTCTTATCTCAACCTACAACCTTTTGAAATGTTTTGAAAAAGTTTTTTTGAAATTATGGCAAAAAGAGGGGGAAAATGAAACAAGTTTGTTGATGAGTTTACAAATTCTAGTTATACTTGTAAATCTTTGTTTCATGCTTTTTCATTAATATTGATTTTTTTTTCAAAATAAAATTGTTTGCTGAAGAGAAATATTGCTATTAAATTTTTAAGATTGGCTGTGTTTGAAACATAAATATGAACTATTTTTCTCTTCTTCAAATTCCAATGTGTAATGTAAAAACAAACATTTTATATGCTAATAATAAAGGAAGAAAAACTGTTTACTTACAGAAATTTAGATTAAACCACCAATGCAAGCATCAATGATGAAAACAGCAAAACATAAAACAGCATCTGGAAAAGAAAAATATTAATGATGATTTAAAATTATATTTTTGTTATTAAATTAAGCACATTTAACAAATAAAGAAGAAGTCAGAAAATTTAAATTCAAAACTTGTTATGTGCGGTTTGCAATTGCAATCTTTTTCTTTTTATCACCTTTTTTTCTCCCCATTGTGGACAATCTTTATTCTATTGTTTTTTGAGTTGCAGACTGAATAATCATTGTCAGTGTGTTTTAATGGAAATTTTGGCTGAACAGGATTTTGTGTTTTTTGTCTAAATACTGTATATTGTTATTGGTAATGTTTTGTTAGTCTGCGAATCAGTAAACACTTGTTGAAATGATTGGTGTGGATAGATCGTCATATTTAATGGGAATTTTAGTTAAATTTGGAAGAGGGTACAATAGAATCATCAAATTTCTTACAGAATGAATAGAAAAATGGGAGAACTAATATTAGTGACTATGTTATGCAATAAATCTGTACTTACACGCTTCCAAAAATTCCAATATTTTGTCAATCATAATAAAAAAGATAACCGAATAAAGAAAAACAAGATCTACAAAAGAATAGAAAAACCGAGTTTAAAATATTTGGTTTTGTTAACATTTAAATAATTGACATAAAAGATCTTTTGCATTATATGACCACATTTTATATGTTGATTTTACTAATCATCATAAAATAAAAATGTTTATTGTTGTTGGTGGGTGTTGGTCAGAAAGTCGGTTAAACCATGAATCAGCACTGGGTCCATCTATACTTGATGTTATTCAAATGCATTTTGCCTTTGTGCCATCTTCAGAAAGGAATCCCTAGCAATTTGAGTAACATCAAAAGCCCAAGTGTAGATTGACCTTAAAATTTATCCAGAGCTGATTCAACATGTGTTTCATATATGTTGATGTCACATAAAATGCTTTTCAAATGCATACTTAAGTACAATGTTAGAAAAAAATTATTACTTACACAAGCACAACTTCAACAGTTGAATAGTAATCAACTGTAATTATATTAATTACAAACGAATAATCTGAAAATAATAAAAAATAATTCATTAAAATGATCTACCGTCTTTAATTTTAATTACTGAATTATTTACAATTTTTAAAATAATTACTCAATAAACTATGAATCCTGCCGTTTGATTATAAAAAAAATATTGTGAGTTTTGTAACATATTTCTAATTTATGCACAGTTTTATTAAGACTGTAAGAGTTTAAAAGTTTGAATTATATGTTAGTTACTAGATTGTTTTAAACAAAATGTAAAAAGATTTAATTAGGAAAAGTATAGCAATAAAGTTGACAAGCTTTGTTTAAAAGCTAGAGAGAGATTGTTAGGGATGCTTCATTGTAAGATGTACTGGTCAATTTGCCCAGTTTTTTTTTTTTTTTTTTAAATTCTGTAATGTCAGTAGTAATAAAGAACGAGTAACAATGTCAGTTTTGAATATACTGCTGTTAGTTTGTACAAGGTAAACACTACGTACATTCAGAATTAACACTTAACTTGAGCGTACATAAATTAGTTTAAAATATATTTTTTATAAAGAAATAAACTGGTTTGTTGCCATGGAAATTATGTAGTAATTCATGAAATCAAAGTTTAAAAAAAATTTAACAAAATTATAAATTTGATTGTAAAAATCAATAGCCGATTGATGGCACGAGAACTCAAACAGACTGTCAGATTGTATGCACAAATTATAGAATCAAGAGAAAGCAGGGCATAAAAACAAACAGTTACACCAATTACACTCATGTTCAAAATGTGTTAGTTAAACTGTTAAAATGCACTGCTCACAGTATATAAGAGGAAATATTAGGATAAATAGGAATTACTTACGTTTTAAAAACACAGTAAGGAGCACTGACTTTTAAACACTTTCTCATGAAATAATTCAAAAGACAAACTGGTCTTATATCGCTATGGAAATGAGTTTGCAATTTAATGTGAAAATTTGCATCATATGACCATTTTCTAGAAAGAAAAAATCAACAGTGGAAAGGTATTTGACTTTTTCCTATCATTTCTGTCTGGTTTAGCCATTTGTAATTTATACAATGAAGTGCACAATAGTCATCTTATAATCTTCAGTGGTTGGTTTTGTAGTAAAAAGGAAATATACAGGGGAAAAACACTGACTTTCCACTGAAGATGGCAAGAAGCGTGACAGACCTAAACACCCAAAATTGAATATGGGGGCAGTAGCAAGATAAGAAAAATGCTTGCCCAGAAGGGTTGGTTGTCACGGACAAGTGGTTAAACCACCTTCCCGTACTTTCTTCACATAACTGACAACATAAATTCCATAGGCTATGATGAGAGTGGATGTATTTATTAGCGTGAATGGGTAGTGTGAAAGGGTCAATGGCAGAATATTGAGTATCCCATTGACCCTCAGTTAGGTTAGTTGTACAATATGTGTAGACAGTTATGGAGGAATATTCACCTCTACCCTAATTCAGTGAATGGTATGTTGTAAGAGAGAATGTATTTAAAAATGAGTGTGGAAATGCAAGCACTGGGTGCTGAATTGACATTATGTTAAACTGATTTTGCTGAGTGCATTTTCAAAAGAATTGTAACTTGAAAATCTCAGCTAGACTTTCTTATGTACTTTTAATTCATTTGTTTTTTTCAAAGAAGAGGTCATACACATTAAATAAAACTACAATATAATTTTTTTAAAGTAAAACAAATTAGAACCCTAAATGTAAACCCTCTTTCTAATAGTGGCATATGATGGGAGTGGATGTATTTATTAGCGTGAATGTGTAGTGTGAGAGGGTCAATGGCGCAATATTGAGTACCCCATTGACCTTCAGTTAGGTTAGTTGTACAATATGTGTAGACAGTTATGGGGGAATATTCTCCTCCACCCTAATTCAGTGAATGGTATGTAGTAGCAGAGAATGTATTTAAGAACAAGTTTGGACGCGCATGCATTGGGTGCTGAATTGACAGCATCCTGAGTATGTACAACCCCAGTACCAGCATCTTAACAGGAACTTCAAAATTCATAAATGGGTGATGAAAGTGCAGCAATCCTAATTCGGAACCATTGCATTCAGCTAATGTTTGGCAATCTTTGCTGCAATACATTGCATTACCCCTTCAACCCTGGTGGCTGAACAAGTAAGGCTGAAGTCTGCCCCAGACTGCCAACACAGGGTGGGTGATTCTCGAGGCCTGCTGACAATTTATTACAAATGTTGTTACTGCCCATTGATCACGAGAATGATGATGAAAACTCTGCACATGTTTGTATTATATGTACATACAAGTGCAGATTTGAGTCTATATAAATCCAAATCTTTCTAATGGTTATTGGGCACAACTTGTAAGTAACAGAGGATTATGTATTCTACAGATTTTGACTATTGTTAAATTGATTGGTTTATAAGTAATGCCTATGATATCTCACTGTTACAGGGGGCTGGCAAAGATACAACTATGACAAATATGTATTTATAACAATATGACAATTTCCTACAGAATTATACATGGCCATATTGAGTACGGTACATTTTATATAAAAGAGGAAATGAAAACCTACTTACATTCAATTAAATAAATTCGCAAGTTCCAACCACAAATATTTTTCAGTACAAACTGGTTTTTGTCGTCATGGATATCAGTTTGCAATTTATTATTAAAAGGAATAAAAATTGTATCATATGATCATTTTTGATGAGGGCATAATTTGCAAACATTGTTGTAAACTTTTTGATTGGCAATAGAGAATAAGATTTATAAAATGACAGATTAGATTCACTATAAAATTTGAATTAACTCACACTGTATTATTTGAGGTTAAATTAAAATTAAACTTTCAGGATATTTCATAATCTTCAGTGCCCAACAAAAACTTCATAGACAAGAGGAAATAACACAGATCAACCATCAAGGAATGCTTCGACCTACATGCGTTTTGACTCATCGGGACCTTCGCCACCAAAGGAAACTGAGGACCTGGTACAATATTGCAGGCACAAGAATATACAATTAATCATTAGAACTGATGCTAACTCACACAGTGAGGAATGGAACAGCACAAACACCACAAAAGAGGTGAGAAGCGTTTAGCATTTGTACTAACTAACAATTTTAACCAATAAGTTTTTGATATTACATTCACTACCCGCTGTATTTCAAACAGTGACGTGCCTATCAGAAAAGAAAATCCTGTGAATCAGCACTACACCCATTAACAATACAAATAGACGATTCACTAGTCAACCAAGAAATAGCATTGCGAATCTTCTTGGACAATATTCCTTTTGAAGCAATGGTTATATCAAACACTGAGGAACAGACAAAACCTGCTGCAGATGGATAGAATCAATGCTAAAAAAAAGAAAAGTGCAGGGCTCCATGTTCCACGAAAAAGTAGAAGCAGCAGGGGCGAGAGGGTGTTTGCAAGGAGGAATTCTCTCTCCTCGGCTGTGCGATGTGGTGGTGGATGATCTCATATGCAAACTAAATGAAAGCGGAATCTATGCCCAAGGCTATGCAGATAATACTGGCATGCTAGTCAGGGGAAATTTCGACACAACATTAAAAGAGCTTACCCAAAGTGCACTAAACACGGTGGAACATGGTGTTCACAAAGGGAACGTAAAGCAAGCCTCTCAAAAACCATCCTAATTGCTTTCACCACGAAAAGAAATATAAGGAAAGACAAGGTTTACGTTTCTGTTATGAAATGCTACAATTAAAATAGTTGAATTTAAGCCGAAGTTAAATACCTAGGAATAATCTTTGTTAAGAAGATAGCCTGAAACCCACACCTGCAGCATACTACTGTAAAAAGTAAAATATTGGTAATGACCACAAGAAGAACTCTACGAAAATCTTGAGGATTAAAACCGAAATGGCCTGTTGGCTATGGCAGTAATAAGACCCCAAAATAACCTATTAATCTGGTGGACCAAAGCTCAACAAAAAGTAGCTACTCATCATTAAACAGCATACAAAGACTAGCAAACCTATGAATCACAGGAGCAAACCCTACAAGTGCACCAGAAACTTTGCTAAACCTACGTCCACTGAAACATTTATGCAAGGAGAGGCTAGGAAAAGCTCAGTTAAGCTCCAAATACAATCAAATTGCACAGGAGCACACAACCATAATTAATAAAATCAAACACCCATTATTAGAAATGGGGACTAATTATATGATCCCGAAAACATTCTTTACAACATCATATAAAGTCTCAACAGATTATAAAGGAGAGGAAGAACTCAGGAGAGTATCAGATACAATGATATGGTATACAGATGGCTCCAAAACAAACGAAGGAACCGGATTGGGCGTTTTCTGTACAAGCCCAAAACATGAGCAATCAAACTCATTATGGAAGTACACTTCGGTCTTTCAAGCAGAAATCAATGTTTATGCTCTGGAAAATCTTAAAAGAGGTTACACTGACAAAAAATCCTCTTAAGATCAGATAGCCAAACAGCCATTAAAGCATTAGCATGTAAAAGAATCACATCAAAATTAATCAGTGAATGCATCCAAAATCTCCAAAACCTGGGGACAACACAACATCCTGATGATATCTTGGGTGCCAGGGCATAGGGGAATTTTGGGTAACAGACAGTCTGGCCAGAGGAGGAGCTGGAAGAGGATAGAATCCTCCATCGCAGAATGGATCCAAACAAAACAAAAGGAGAAGTGGATAAACTAGCAGCACTAGACACAGTAACTTAAGCTAAAACAACCCTCACCAACTCTGTCAAGTTCACTGCTGCAGTTGGACAAGGCCAGACTCAGAGGAATGATTGAACTATTGGCATCTGAGAAAACCTCTATACAACATGGGCTTGTACGCAATGAGGAGGAGGAAACAACCACCCATATCATTGCGCAGCAACGGCTCAATGGAGATTTACCCTAACATACAGAAAAAAAAAACCTAGGGAATGAAATTGTAGCAGCGACAGTTAAAGACCTAATACTTTTAAGGAGAAGGATTGAGTCTATTGCACTGAACTAAGGAATTAAGAAGGTACAATAAGCCAGAATGCCTCAGTGCCTGGGAGTACAAACCCCGCTTCCTAGTATCCTCATTACCATTACTGGTCAATTTGTCAAGTTTTTTTAAATTCTGTAAAGTCAATCATAATGAACAAGTAACAATGTCAGATTTGAATGTACTGCTGTTAGTTTGTCAAAGGTAAACAACATTCATAATTTACACATTAACAGTACACGCAACAGTAATACACAGAATTAGTGTGTACATAAATTAGTTTAACTTTTTTGTTTATCAAGAAAATGTTGTTTCAGTTCACGTTGTCATGGAAATTATTTAGTAATTCATGACATCAAAGTTTTCAAAAAATAAAAATAAATAAAAAATAAAAATAAAAAATAAATGTAACAGAATAAAACCATAAATTTGATTGTAAAAATCAATAGCCGATTGATGACAGGAGAACACAAACAGACTGTTAGATTGTATGCACAATTTGATAGAATCAAGAGAAAACAGAGCATAAAAACAGTTACACCAACTACACCCATGTTCAAAATGTGTTAGTTAAACTGTCAAAATGCACTGCTCACAATATATAAGAGGAAATATTAGGATGAATAGGAATTACTTACGTTTTAAAAACACAGTAAGGAGCACTGACTTTTAAACACTTTCTCATGAAATAATTCAAAAGACAAACTGGTCTTATATCGCTATGGAAATGAGTTTGCAATTTAATGTGAAAATTTGCATCATATGACCATTTTCTAGAAAGAAAAAAATCAACAGTGGAAAGGTATTTGACTTTTTCCTATCATTTCTGCCTGGTTTAGCCATTTGTAATTTATACAATGAAGTGCACAATAGTCATCTTATAATCTTCAGTGGTGTTTTGTAGTAAAACGGAAATACGTGAGAGGAAAAAACTCACCAGTGAAGATGGCAAGAAGCCTGACCTAAACACCTGACTTGGCTCCATGAAGAGAATGAGTAGGAATGTCACCCAAAATTTTGAACAAGGGGACAGTAGCAAGAGAAAGAAAAATAATGCCTGCCCAAAGGGGTTGGTTGTCATGGACAAGTGGTTAAACCACATAACTGACAACATAAATTCCATAGGCTATGCTAGGATTCAAACCCAGGACCACTAGCTTGCCACATACAAGTCAGATCCCCTAACCACTCGACCACGGCAGAACCTCATTAGAAAGTACTTGGGTGTCCTGTTCTGATTTTTAGAAGCAATAGGAAAGTTGATGCTTTTGTGTCGATTATATTGGTTGAAATAATATATAGACATGAATGTAATATTAAAATAGAAGGCCTAGGTGTGAGATACTTGATTATCTAAAAATTTTGATTGTCAAAGCCAATTTAATCTTCTTATGAAGCTATATAGTACTAAATGAACTTTGTTTCATGTAGTTTATCTTGACTTGTGGGTACAATCAGCCTGTGTTGTCAGTTTGCAATCTAACACGTAACATAACAGGAATAGGGCGCAATATAATTTATAAACGTTTGCTACCTAAGCAAATAAATCATGTGACAGTTATACATTTCAGTTAGTTAAAAAGTGAAACAAGAATCATGGAGGAAATACTACAGAAAAGTTGAAAACATCACTGAAGCAAGTAGACTCCACAAAGTCCTTGCCAAAGACCCGCTAAACCCCATCAAAACATACACAAATCACAAAGGAAACATTAGAAATTCTAATAACTATGCACTTTACGAAATCAAAAACTACTGCCAACCTGAACACAAGGGACAATTACTGAACATGTCAAAGACCAGAAAGCCAGCAGGGAAGATTGGCTAATAGCCAAAACACTAAACAGTAATCCCCTAAGAAAATATTGAATGGGCTATCGACAACCACACTCAAACTCCAGTAACAGACAGGATATACCCAGTACTCCTACATAAGGGAAAAATAACATTAATCACCCTGCTTGTAAATATATACAGAAGCTGCCTGGCAATGGGATACATCCCAAGCACATGGAAAACTGTAAAAGTAGTTTCTATTCCAAATGTTGCACAGAAAAACTACACATATAGGTTGATCAGTCTAACATCCTTTCTGCTCAAAACATTCGAAAGGATAGTTGAAAAACATGTGGGGCAGCTCTCTAAAAGAAAAACCCCTTTGTAAGTATCAACATGCCTATCAGAAAGGAAAATCCTGAGAATCAGCACTACACTGATTAACAATACAATTAGAGGATTCACTGAACAACCAAGAAATAGCATTAGGAATATTCTTAGACATTGAAGGAGCATTTGACAATACTCCTTTTGAAGCAATGGTTATATCACTCAAACAGTGAGGAACAGATAAAACCTGCTGCAGATGGATAAATCAATGCTAAAAAAAGAAAAGTGCAGGGCTCCATGTTCCACGAAAAAGTAGAAGCAGCAGTGGCGAGAGGGTGTCTGCAAGGAGGAATTCTTCTGCCTCTGCTGTGTAATGTGGTAGTGGATGACCTCATATGCAAACTAAATGAAAGCAGAATCTATGCCCAAGGCTATGCAAATAATACTGGCATGCTAGTCAGGGGAAATTTCGACTTAACATTAAAAGAGCTCACCCAAAGTGCACTAAACACGGAACATGGTGTTCACAACGGGACATAAAGCAAACCCCTAAAAACCATCCTAATTGCTTTCACCAAGGAAAGAAACATAGAGAAATACAAGGCTTATGATTCTATTATGAAAAGCTGCAATTAAAAAATGAAGTTAAACACCAAGGAATCTAATCAATAATCTTTGATAAGAAGTTACCTAGGGAATGAAATTGTAGCAGTGACAATTAATGACCTGATACTTTTAAGGAGAAGGATTGAGTCTATTGCACTGAACTAAGGAATTAGGAAGGTACAATAAGCCAGAAGGCTGCAGTGCCTGGGTATACAAACCCCGCTTCCTAGTATCCTCATTACCATTACTGGTCAATTTGTCAGGTTTTTTTAAATTCTGGAAAGTCAATCATAATGAACAAGTAACAATGTCAGATTTGAATGTACTGCTGTTAGTTTGTAAAAGGTAAACAACATTCAGAATTTACACATTAACGATACATACAACAGTAACACACAGATTTAGTGCATACATAAATTAGTTTAACTTTTTTTTTTGTCAGGAAATAAACTGATTCATGTTGCCATGGAAATTATTTAGTAATTCGTGGCATCAAAGTTTAAAAAAAAAATAAAATAAAATAAAATAAATAAAAAAATTAAATAAAATAATGTAACACAATAAAATCATAGGTTTGATTGTAAAAATCAATAACCGATTGATGGCAAGAGAACGCAAACAGGCTGTCAGAGTGTATGTACAAATTGATAGAATCAAGAGAAAGCAGGGTATAAAAACAGTTACACCAACTACACACATGCTCAAAATGTGTAACATCGTCAGAATGTGATGCTCACAGTATATAATAGGAAATATTAGGATAAATAGAAATTACTTACGTTTTAAAAACACAGTAAGGAGCACTGACTTTTAAACACTTTCTCATGAAATAATTCAAAAGACAAACTGGTCTTATATCGCTATGGAAATGAGTTTGCAATTTAATGTGAAAATTTGCATCATATGACCATTTTCTAGAAAGAAAAAAAATCAACAGTGGGAAGGAATGTTGTTTAACTTTTCCCTATCATTTCTGTCTAGTTTAGCCATTTGTAATTTATACAATGAAGTGCATAATAGTCATCTTATAATCTTAAGTGGCAGATTTTGTACTAAAAAAGGACATAGGGGGAAAAACACTGACTTTCCACTGAAGATGGCAAGCAGCCTAACTTGGTTCCTTGTAGAGAACGAGTAGGAATGTCACCCAAAATTTTGAACATGGGGACAGTAGCAAGAAAAAGAAAAATAATGCCTGCCCAGAGGTTGGTTGACATGGACAAGTGGTTAAACCACCTTCCCATACTTTCTCCATATAACTGACAACATAAATTCCATAGGCTATGCTAGGATTAAAACCCAGGACCACTAGCTTGCCACATACAAGTCAGATCCCCTAACCACTCGACCACTGAAGAACCTCAAGAGAAAGAATTTGAGTGTTCTGTTCTGATTCTGTTAAACCACCTTCCCATACTTTCTCCATAAAACTGACAACATAAATTCCATAGGTTATGCTAGGATTAAAACCCAGGTATCCTGTTCTGATTTTTAGAAGCAATAGGAAAGTTGATGTTTTTTGTGTTGAATATATTGGTTAAAATTATTTATAGACATGAATGTGATATTAAAATAGAAGGCCTATGTGTGAGGTACTTGATTATCTAAAATTTTTGATTGTCAAAGCCAATTTAATCTTCTTATGAAACTACATAGTACTAAATGAACTTTGTTTCATGTAGTTTACCTTGACTTAAGGATACAATCAGCTTGTGTTGTCAGTTTGCAATCTAACACGTAACATAACAGGAATACAGTTTAATGTATAGAACAGTTGTTTGCTACTTAAGCAAATACCTGCAAACAATATTGCATCGTGTGACTGTTATACATTGCAGTTATTGTTCTCCTTTCGAAAGTAAGAAGTAGGTATAAATGTAATGTATATTATAACACAACAGAGAATTTGGAAACAAAGAATCTACCACTCATTTACTTCCTAACAGAATAGATTCAATAAATATTGCTAGTCCTGTTAGAATTTGTTTACACATTTTGATTATTACAATTATTTTTTATTATTATTACAATTATGTAGTAAAAAAGATTTGTTGACAAATTGGAATTATGAACACATCAAATAGTGAACTTATAATACCTTGTGAATTGATATCATGTTGATTTGCTGAGTGCATTTTCAAAAGGGTTGTAACTTGAAAATCTGAGCTAGACTTTCTTATGTACTTTTAACTCATTTGTTTTTCTCAAAGAAGAGATCGTACACATTAAATAAAATTACAATATAATCTTTTTTTAAAGTGAAACATGTTAGAACCCTACATTTGAACTGTCTTTTTAATAGTGGCGTATGATGAGAGTGGATGTATTTATTAGCGTGAATGTGTAGTGTGAGAGGGTCAATGGCAGAATATTGAGTACCCCATTGACCTTCAGTTATGTTAGTTGTATAATATGTGTAGACAGTTATGGGGGAATATTCACCTCTACACTAATTCAGTGAATGGTTTGTAGTAGCAGAGAATGTATTTAAGAATGAGTTTGGAAGTGCATGCATTGGGTGCTGAATTGACAGCATCCGGAGTATGTACAACCCCAGTACCAGTATCTAAAGTAACATGATCACCCAAAACAACAGGAACATCAAAATTCATAAATGGATGATGAAAGTGCAGCAATCCCAATTCGGAACCATTGCATTCAGCTAAAATTTGCCACTCTTTTGCTTCAATACATTGCATTACCGCTCCAACCCTGGTGGTTGAACAAGTAAGGCCAAAATCTGCCCCAGACTACCAACACACAGGGTGGGTGATTCTTGAGGCTTGCTGAGAATTTATTGCAAATGTTGTTATTGCCAGTTGACCACGAGAATGATGATGAAACCCTGCACATGTTTGTATATATGTACATGCAAGTGCAGATTTGAGTCTATATACATCCAAATCTTTCTAATGGTTATTGGGCACAACTTGTAAGTAACAGAGGATTATGTATTCTACAGATTTGGACTGTATTGTTAAACTGATTGGTTTATAAGTAATGCCAATGAGACCTCACTGTCACAGGGGGCTGGCAAAGATACAATTGCTAAGACAAGTATGTCTTTATAACAATATGACAATTTCGTACAGAATTATACATGGCCATATTGAGTATGGTACATTTTATATAAAAGAGGAAATGAAAGCCTACTTACATTCAATTAGATAAATTCGCAAGTTCCAACCACAAATATTTATCAGAACAAACTGGTTTTTGTCGTCATGGATATCAGTTTGCAATTTATTATTAAAAGGAATAAAAATTGTATCATATGGTTATTTTTGATGAGGGCATAATTTGCAAACATTGTTGTATACATTTCGATTGTAGAGAATAAGATGTATAAATTGATAGATTGTGATTGTGATACTCTGTAAAATGTGAATTAACTCACACTGTATCATTTAAGGTTTTATTAAAATTAAACTTTCACATCATCTCATAATGTTCAGTGCATAATGAAAAAGAAAACACAGATCAACCACTGAAGATGGCAAGAAGGCTGACAGACTAACAGCTAATGATTTGGCTCTATATACAGAGCGAGTTGGAGTATTACTCAGAATTGAACATGAGAAAAGTGACAAAGTCCTTCCTCTAAATCAAAGCACCCGTTGTATTCCGTGGACAAGTGGTCAAACAACTTTATAATGATTTCTCAATATTATTGATAATTGAAATTCCAAAAGGTATGCCGGGATTTGAACCAAGGATCACTTACATGCCAAAAACAAGGACACCTTAACCACTCGAACAATGCAGTACCTCAATGTTTTGTGCAATATTTTTGTGCTCAATATAGTGTGAAATTATTTATGGTCGTAAATGTGTAATGTGTGAGGGTGACTGGGAAATCAACAAAAAATGGGAATACATATAAGCCTTGGGCAATATGCCACTGCCTTTCAAGTGGATCCTGTGGCTATTGAACTGAGATTAAAAGGATAGATATTGTTAAGAGAAGAATAGCCATCTGCGTGGACAGCCAGGCAGCAATACGGGTAATTACTGCATCAATTGTAAAGTTCAGGGTGTTTTAAGTTGCATTAAGGCCCAGCAGATATTGGGGAAAACATCAAAATTACTCTTGTCTGAGTACCAGAGCAGAGGAGCAATGAAGAGGACAACAAATTGGCCGAGGACAGTTCAATGAGGACACTTTTCTGCCCTGAACCTCTTTTGTTGCATACTAAACTGCCAAAAATGTGGATCAATCAGACATGGATTAAAAATAAGTCTCTGATGAAGTAGCCCAGGACAGAAGCATGCAAAAAAGTTCATCAATTGCAGAAACTAACGGCAAAAGAGTTAAGACATGCTAGGACTAGAATTATAGTTGGACTGCTAATTGGACATTGCAGATTCAGGAGGTATAGGCATAGACTTGGGGTGGCAGAATCAAGCCTGTGCAAACATTGCCAGAAAGAAGAAGAAATAGAGGAACACATCCACTATTGGTGAGATGCCTTAAATGTAGGCTCAAGCCCATACTTCTTGGTGAGGAAAAGCCTTAGGATGCATATGGGATTCCTTCAAAAAGACTTGGGATCTGGTAAAAAGCATTAAGCTTAATGAGGAGCTCTAGACAACAATGGAGATGCACAATAGACTTAATATGGGTTGTGGTGCACAGAGTAAAGAGGACGACCTTTTTTTAAATCTTAATCTTAAAAATGTGAGGCAGAATACATACTTAGTGTAAAAACTGTGACAACCCCATAACAAGGTGGACAAACAAAGACTGCGTTAGATAGAGTAGGTGATTGTGGATCATTGTGAAAAGTTTAATTCCTAAGATAATGGTATGTTATATTATTTTAGCTAAAATACCCTAGAAATCTGTTTATAGTAACTAAACGATTCATACCATAAGTATTGTAATAAGATTATATGTAATAATAATATGTATTTTAAGGAAAATATAGTTTACTTCATAATGGGAACTTTACTTCATAAAGGCACGGCTGTAAAATTTTAATTATGATAAACAAGTTTTATAACACCAGAACATAATAATAAAACAGCCGATCATAAAAGTTATTTTTAAGTAATTTCCAATTTGAAAACTTTATCAATTTTGAATGTACTGTTAAGCTTTGGAATAGAAGAGAAAGAAACTCAATGTGACAGAGTAAAAGTTATTGTAGAAATGTTTGTATCAATGGTTGAGTGATGCTTTACAATTATTTCCATAAAATTCTAATTGCCTATATTGGACAATTAAATAAACCAGTTTGTATAAAAGCTAGTACTGCTTAAAAAAATTACTTACCTTTATCTTCGACAATAAATAAGATATTAGATCTGAAAATAGAACAAAACCATGTCATTTCTTTTTTTAACCACTTACAAACTTATTGGTGAGTAATGATTAACATAAAACAAAAAATAACTATGTATTCTACATATTTTGACTGTTCTATTTAATCGACCAGTTCATAAGTACAGAAAATTTAATCATTAATAGTGAAACAATTGTGAAGAAAAGTATGGACATTAGTATGATCATTTTTTTATTCAATTATACTGTGACACACTTAATACACTACATTTATGTTAAATATTAAATGAAAATGTACTTACATCCGCAAGTAAATATCAAGAATAGCACACTGGTCAAAATAGGCAAATATTTTTAACCACTGCAAATATCAAAGTCGTCATGGAAATCAGTTTGAATTTTTATCAAAATTAGAAGGAGAATTGTGCCATATGGTCACTTTCAATTAGGGCATAGTTTTTAAATTTTTTTTTGTAAAATTGGTTTTTAAAATAGAAGTCCTCGGTATGAGATGCGTGATTATATATTCTAGAAATGCTGTCTGTCAAGGCCAACTTAATGTACTTGTGAAACTGGCATTTAAACAAAGTTAAATAATAATAAAATAGTAAATAAACATTAAATGGAAAAATAATAAAATGAATTTAATGGTTATTTATGAGTATATGGCTTATTATGTCAATTTTAAATCTACTACTCAAAAATTATATTTTTTTGCTTTCAAAATTAGAAATCTGTCTATATTATAGTGTGTACATACCAGGATGTGTACAATGACATCTATCTTCATAACCCTTGTTCTTGTAACCTAAATTGTTTTTAAAAATAAAAATTTATGCATTTCTAAATCATAAACTGCATGTTTAACACTGTGCTGTGTTCTGATTTCATTTCATTAATAGTTTATAAGAAGAAAGTTAGTGGGTCAGGGCCTAGAGAACTGGAAGCCTTGAGAGTGGGGCTGCAGCTTCAACATGAACTGTATAATTTAACTAATTATTCTTGTTGTCTAAGGTTTTTGGTTAAGATAAAAAAATTAGTGACACGAGCAGGATTTGACAATACGCTGCTGCTCTAACCACTTGAGCTATCCTTATTAAATGAAAAAGTACAAAACAAAGATTTACAAGAATAAGAATTTGTATACTCATCAACAAACTGTCTTGATTGATTTCTTTTTGCTATATTTTCAAAAAACTCCTTCAAAACCTTTCGAAAAGTTGTAGGTCAAGATGGGAAGTTAGTGTCCAGTGGATCGAAGTCATGATAACTCGAGTGGATGGAGCAGCGACGTATTAAGCCAATGATCATGGGTTCGAATCTTGCTCATGACATTAATTTTTCATCTCATCCAAAAACCTTAGATAAAAAGAATAATTAATTGGAATAATATTATGGTCAATTATGAACACTAAGCAAATATGGAGTATAATTTAATATTGACCCAATGTTTAAATTTATCATTAAAATTATTCCAATGTGATCTACTTTCTTCAATTCAATTAAATTGCAATTTACAAAAATAATTTGGTCAACTTTGATAATCCATCTAACCTAGGGTTACTTTTTGAGGATGTTAAAAAATTAAAAATTACTTTAACAATATTAAAAAAATTCTTCTCAACTTAAATAGATTTGGCAAAAAAAAAAAAAAAAAAAAAAAAAAAAAAAAAAAAAAAAAAAATATGATAAACACTGGGGGGGCTCTTTAAAAAATATTTCTTTATTTAATAAAATTCAGTCGGCTGGATGGAATTATTTACAATCAATAATTTTTACCAATGAATTCCGCAGCCTTTATGCGACAGCGCCCTCTTTGTGTAATTTGCGGTTGATGTGGTTCATACCGGCTGCAGCTGCAACTTGCTTACATAACTAAAAACAAAAGGATTGTGAAGTCCACTTTGCATTTTTTAAAGTAAAAAGTACACTTACATGATGTGACTACATTGACTGTCCTCAACTTCCAAGCAACATCAATTTTTCCACTACTCCTTATCAGCTTAGACAGCATAGGACCTTCTTTATTTCAAGCCACAAGACTAACTATGGCAAAAACTCACCGCTAGACAGAATAATGTGCTCCAGAAATGACATCCCTCACTTACAATTATTTAATTAATCTAAAGTGTTTGTTTCTGTGTAAGTGTGCCATTCTTGCGTGTCGTGTTGTGAGTGCCAGTGGACTTTTTCTGAAGCCTGCATCACACCAGACCGCATCTCACGATTTCTGAATAATTATCGACTAATGGTCACTAATTAACAAACATTGTAATTATTATTATATGATTATTGTTAGCATGATGAGCTCTTTTTATGTGCAATTACTTGTAATACATTTATATATTCTTGTACAATGATTATATCTGTATATAAATAAAATATATACAATAAAATTATGTTTCCTCCAATGTTTGGAACAGGGGCCCATCTTCTCACTTCCTTGTTAAAGCAAAATTTTCAGGTTGCATCCCTACACGCTATAAAAACAAGAAATTGCTTCAACTAAGTGGTACAGGTTGAGAAACTTTTCTTTATGTGCTGGACACACACAAAAAATTTTTTAAATTTTAAATTTGAATTTTTTAAATGTTTCTATTAAACTAATCATGTTCTTACGACACCAACAGTAAAAAATTAACTGTATAATTTAATGGTTATTTATGAGTACATTTGGCTTGTTTTGTCAATTTTAAATCTACTACTCAAAAAATGCATTCATTACCACTAAGTATGAATGGAGGAATACGCAGTTCACATGATGCTGAGTAAAGTTGTTTCCCTTATAGAAAAAAAAAGGACTGTCTTGAGGGAAGCAATATCGTCTCTGAGACTAATTATTAATTACTGGTAGATTCCTGGTAACTGGGAGAAGTTTTCAAGATCGGTACCCTTCCATAAATGGTACAAGCCCATTTTTTTTTTTAAATGGTGTCCAGTCAACCCTCCTATAACACGGTACTCTCAGAACGCGGTTTCTATATAACGCGGAGCTGAAACTGCGACAGCCCTCCCATAACTCGGTACTCTTACAGCGCGGTTTCCGTTTAACAGAATCCCATAAGTCCCTTCCACACAGCCTATGAATGACTCTAGTAACTAGATATTGTAAGAGGTTTTAATGTAAGTTTTATTTTCCACGCAAAAGCACAGCCGAGATACATAAACATGTTTATATAAACATGCCAGCTTATCTCATAGCCGTTTACGACATCGGTTTCAGTCATCTCAGAGATCTTTCATAGTACATATGTTTTGTTGGTGACCAAGTCTTTCTAAAAATTTTTCTACACCTTCCGTTCGTTCAGCTTTTAGCTGCTTAATTTGTGATTTATAATTGGACAACATTACACAATACGATAAGTAATATTCTTAAGTTGTACTAATATAATAATAATAAAGTAATTAATTTTATTAAAATAATTAATTACCCTAGATTTGCATCATGTCAAACACAAAAGAAACAAGGAAAGGATTAAAAAGAAAGTTTGTATCGCTTGAAGATAAAATCCAAATTTTAAATCGTTTAGAAGGCGGGAAAAAAATATCGTCTGTTGCATAATCAATAATTTTACAAAAGTCTTTCTTGTTTTTGTTGGAAAACAGTCTTTTAGTTTAGTTTTTGTTTCATTTTTTTTTAACAATCCTTATATGAACTCTTCAATTCAATAAAAATAATTCATAATTTATCTTGTCTTTTGTATTTATTGGTCTCCATATAACGCAGTACGAATGATGTGATTTGTACTAATTCCGAGTTTCTTATACCGCAGTTTCCGTACAACGCGGTAGACGGTTTCCATAGAACACGCTACGAATTAGCCTGGTTTGTACGATTAAATCCGAGTTTCTTATAGCGCGGTTTCCATATAACGCGGTACGCACTCACCGTGTTATAGGAGGGCTGACTGTACATGATTAAAGACCAGATGCCAGTTGGTAACTGAGCAAACTGTACAATAAACTGTGCAGGTTATTGTTGCAAATGAAGGTCCTGAAAGCAGAGACTGTGTGAAAGCCCTTCTTACCTACACATTTCACACAAATTATTGCTTAGAAATGTGATAAATTGGACAGCTAACTAAACTGGAGGTGTTAACTCCCTTAACACATACAGTATAGCAATATTTTTCTTTCCAAAAGGTAGATTGGGGATGAGGCCAATGTTTAATGATGGCCCAATCTACCTTTTGGAAAGAAAAATATTGCTTGCTGAGAAGGCTGATCAATCACCAAAGAAAATATATACAGTATAATTTAACATTGTCCCAATGTTTAATATTATAGTTAAAGTCATTCCAATGTGTTCAATTAACTTGCAATTTGCAAAAATAATTTGGTCAACTTTGATCAAAAAATCAAAGTTTAAAATAATTTAAATGACCTAGGGTTACTTTTTGAGGAGGCAAAATAATTAACAATTACTTGCACAAGATTAAAAAAATTCTTGTCAACTTGAGACCAAAGCAAAAATACAATTGATGAAGTTTTATTATATTTAATAAAGTTATAAATTGGGGGGGGAGGGACTTTTTAATAAAATTTCTTTATTCAATAAAATACGTTTGTATAAAATTATTTACAGTCTACGACTTGAAATCCATTAGCCTGGCCATTTTTTTCAGCCATTGCTTCGAGTTTCTTTTTTGCATTGGCAATTGCTTTCCTCTTCTTCACACCTCCTCTTTTTGGTTTTTTGAAGGAGACGATAGGATCCTTTTGCCTTTCTTCATTTTTTTCTGATGGGAGCACATCTTCAGGGAGCTCTTCGCCGACTACTTCTGCAGCTTTTACAAGCGCATCGCCTTCGAAGATTTCGTCTTCAGGACGCGTTTCAAAAGAGGTCTTGGGAAGCAGTTTTGAAGCAATGGCGCGCTCTTTCTGGAATTTGCGGTTGACATATTTCATACCGGCTTTGGCTGCGATTTGCTTACGCAACTGGAGAAAAAAAAAAGAATGTGATGCCACTTAGTATATTTTAAAGTCAAAAAGTAAACTTACCAAATTTGGTGTCACATAGTGCTTGTTTTCCCATAGTGCATTGCCAGTAAAACTGCTGTCGAATATTTTGATTGGATTCAAAATAAACCTGGGACCTGAGTACATATATGTCTTAATTATAAGAAAACAAAATTAATAAAAAATCTAAAAGACATACCAATTTCTGCAAGTGCTCCATCCTCTTTAAGAATTTGATAATGTCTGTACCATATTCGATTATCCAAATATGCAAAAGAAATAACTCTATCAACAAAGGGTTGGCTCTTTGGATGGTGATTTGGTACACCAAACACCTACAATATAAATTTAACTTCAATATTAAATTAAAACATTTTATAAAATAACTAAAAAATAAATTACCTGAATAAAAAGCTCTTTTAAGAGAGCTAGATGAGGTAATTGGCTAAAATTGGCATCAAAAGATAAAAGAGGCCTGGATCCTTTTAAACAATTGCCAGTCATTCGAAGTTCTTGCATTGTTATGACTAAAACAAACATAAATTACAAAACAAAAATCAATTCTGTTTTATTTGACTTACTGTTTTGCACAAGAAATTTAGCACAGGGTCCATTGGGCACATTTGAAATCCACGCATACAAATCTTGTTTCTTACGAGCCTCAAAAAACACTGATTTGTTACAATTCTTCATAGCACACAGCTAAAACAGAAAAATACAAAATTTCCTACAATGATGTAAAATGTGTTTAAGCTATCTGTAGCAGCCTACTTCGTTTATTACAGCCAAATGCTCCCTTCTTGAGATTTTGTTTTCATCCTTGGAATGCGGCATGACAGATTTCAGGTTGTTCATCAAATGACGATCCCTCTGTGTTGTACCTCGGGCAGCAAAAACCAATACTCTCTGACGATTCACCCATTTACGCTTGGAACAAGATATGAATATTAAAAACTTAATCTAAACTAATAATGAATCAAAGGTCGCAGTGGTTGAAAGGCGTATGGAACATCCTGCACAAGCTAAATGTATGACAATGGAGGAGAAAGACAACAGATTGGAAGGAATAGCAGAAAATGTTGGATAGGGCAAGATCCTATAAGGATTGTAAGCACCATGTAGTAAGAAAGAGAAAAAAGTACTGTTTCATACATGACCTGTAATGTTATTAATCTAAAGCCAACATTTGAAGCTTTACTTAAAGAAATTATGTTCTAAACTTAATCATTTTAGAGTGAATTTCTGAACAAAATTGATGTTAATGGATTGTTCTCAACTTCTTCAAAAGCTTGTACAAAGCACACATACATATTCTGTACAATGTAGTTTGCTTTTTAAGTCCATTTGACCAGAATCGTAAGGCAGAAAAAAAAGAAAGCTTTTGTACCTTTTTTGGAATCGGTTCGTCTGAGGATCTGACGGGAGGTGGAGGCTGTTCCGACTCGTTGGCGCCTTCGTTGTCTGAGTCTTCCCTTTTTCTTTTCATCAGAACTCGACCCAGTCTGGTTTTTCTGTTTTTCTTCGACATTTCTGCAGAATTTTGACTGGTCACGAGGAGTAAAGAAAAGAGTGGCGTCGGAGCGTGAAGGTTATATAACAGCGGTGTTACCTTTCCTAACGTACCACACCACGTGGTGATGATAAAAACTCATCATTGTAGACTGTTTTTGACAAGAACAATTAATTACATCATAAAAATAATTCTGAAAAAATTGACAGTTTTTTAAAGTTTTATATTATATTCAAATGGATGTTACAGACATAAAGTAAGTACAATATTGATATCGACATAATGAACGAATGTTTATTTATTTACCGTTTCCTAATTACAAATGTACAAAAAAAATTCCATAAAAGTAATGTTATAACAACATAAATTTAAAAATATTTAAATTAATACAATAAAACAAACAAACAATTTAGAATACTGACGGCTCCAAAACCGACAAGTCCACGGGAGCTGGAGTCTTCGGAATGAACCCAAAGACAGAACTGACGGTAAACCTAGGTAAATATGCTACAGTTTTCCAGTCTGAAATTTAGCGATTGAACAAAGTGCCAGAGAAATAAAAACATTAGTAACACATTTCCGGAAGATAGCTGTTTTCTCTGACAGTCAGGCAGCACTAAAGGCCCCAGCTTCATGCTCGGTGAAGGCAAAGGGTATTTGGAACTGCATATCAGACACTAATGACCTGAATCCTTTTTAAAAAGATGAACCCACTCACAGTAAGTTGTTTTGCAACGATCCGGATTTCGAGCCTTTTAGCTCATCATCAGATTGAAGGACTTCTACAACCTCGTCTTTCGACATGAATTGCCAAAGAGTCGAGAGACGTGGTTGTAGAAATCCTTCAATCTGATGATGAGCTAAAAGGCTCGAAATCCGGATCGTTGCAAAACAACTTACTGTCAGTAGGAACTATCTTTTTAAAAAGGATTGAACACCACACTCACTCCATCATTTATCATTTCCACTAATGACCTGACCCTGGCATGGGTCCTTGGGCACTCGGGGCATAGAGGCAACGAAAAGGTTGACATGTAGGCCAAAGAGTCCAACATAGACTCCCTAGTCCTGAACCCGACTGTCGCTTATCATCCTGCCACAAAAGAGGATATATCTTAAAATGGATCCTTAATGAGTCCAAAACCTGGTGGAACACTACCATAGGCGTGAGGCACGCGAAGAGATTATAGAAGGTCCGTACGCAAAACTTATAAAGGAATTACTGGAGGCAACCGCAACCGAACCAGGATTCTGTTTGGACTCTTGACAGGGCACTGCCTCTTAAGAAATTACATGCACTGGATAGGAGTACAGACAGAAGAAACACTGTGCAGATACTGCCAGGAAGAGGAGGAGACCGCAGAACACATTTTATGTTCCTGGGAAGGTCTGTGTAGGTGCAGGTTCTTGCAACTAGGACAAGAAAAGCCTCAAGGAAGATCCTACACTCAAAGGAGCCACTGGCAAAGCTATGGAGGCTGATTAACAACCAGAAGCTGGCCAGTGAGTTATAAAAACAGGGGAGCACAATAGATCTATTCAGATCGAGGTGCAGTAGGCCTTGTGGCCGCCTCTTTTATCCCTATCTCCTATCCTTTAGAATGAATTAAAACCATTTGAAATATTTATGAAAACTATATAATTATCAATTATTGGGTTGATGCAAAAATATTGTAGGTTTTTGATCTTCAGTAAAAAGAAGCTACACTTTAACTTCAACAAAATACATTTAATCAAAATAACTTCCATTATTATCTATGTATTTCTGCCAACGCACAGCCAATGAATTAATCCCAGAAGAGTAAAATAAATAAACTGACAGGCAAAAAATTTCACCCACTTTAATATTACTTGATTTCTACATATTTTTATGTCTTGATCAAAGTTTCACGTTTTTTAACGTTTGATAATTGATTATTTGTCTAAAAAAGTTAAAAAAAGTAAATTGTTAAGGAAAATTGAAAATGAAAAAAAAAAGATTTACAGATAAAATTTGTTTTAATTAGATTTTTAATTAACATTTCAATATCGCGTATTTCCTACTCTTGACTTAATTACATCTCAAAGACGCCTCGGCATACTTTCTACCAGTCTGGAAATGTTTCTTTGCTGGAGGTTAGCCCATTCTTCGCGAAGAGACCTTTCAAGATCGTGGAGTGTATCAGGAAGTGATGGACGTGGTCTTATTCATCTTTTGAGGTTATCCCATAAATGTTCGATGAGGTTCAAGACTGGAGAACGGGCTGGCCAGGGTAAGACCCTGATGTTATGCTGTGGAAGGTTCGTTTGTACTATGCGAGGACATGTAGATGGGATTTTAATGCATTAGAATAGGATTGTCGCTGATTTCATCGAGGATAGACAACGCATGGTGTACCGAAATTTCATCCACATAGCGAGTGGTCGTCAAAGACCATCCACGAACAACTATTAACTCTGTGCGACTCTCCATTGAAATTCCCGCCCACACCAACACTGGGCTACGTTGAAAAGGTTGGCTCTGGGAAAAATTACAAGCTTCTTACCATTCATTTCGCCTTCTCCACACTCACGTCTATTAGGAGATCGTAGAGAAAATCTACACTCATCTGTAAAAAGTGCAGCAGATCAATCGTCCAAAGACCAATGGCTGTATCCTCTATCAAATGGAAGCCTCTATGCTTTGGTCAATTCTGGTCCTCTTACGAAGCGAAAGTCCATATTGATTTAATCTTCTTCGAGCAGTGCGTTCAGAAATTTGGACACCTCGAACTTCTTGGAGCTGATTAATTGCTTGAACAACCGTAAGGTGCCGGTTGAAAATTCTCAATACCAGAAAACTGTGGTTTCCCTAGGGAGTCCAGAACCGGTCCTTCTATGGTAGGACCCAGTTTCTCGAAAACGTCTAACGACGTCTCGTAGTGTTTCGTAAAGAACTCCCATGGCAATAGCCGCATACCTGATGAAACGTCCATCATCAATAAGTGCGACACAACGCGCAACATCCTCAGCACTAAGTGCCATTTTTAATTTTAAAAATTGAAATTAAGAAAACAAAGACGAAAACTAAACGGTTTATTGCTTCAGAATTGAAATGAGACTGTATAAACATTTTAAATTCCATAAAAAATAAACATTGAAAAATCCTTTATCCTTGTTTAGATTAAAGATTAAGTTTGTTTAGGGATGGCTAGGAACGGATGTAAATGATGATGCAGATACTGGGGGGAGGGCAGCTGGTTTTCTTTTTTTAAATTTACCAAGAGTTCTTCCTTCTTTTTTACCAGCAGTGTTCGTTCCTGTACAGCCTAGATATGTCAAGTTATTGACAATACCATTTATTTATTATTAATTTTGTATTAAATTCTTTATAGATTTTTTTCATCGTCTACAACCAATATTTCTGACTTTGAATATATATTGCATCACCATTAAAATTCATCACTGTTATTGTCCACTGTTTGATTTTCTCCTTCAAAATGGAGAAAATGGTTAACGGTTGGTTAAGGTTGTCTACCGTCGATAATGCTTGTATAGCTTTTTATTATGACTCTATCAGCCTTGATGCCGTGAGAAATTGTAAGGATAACATCTCCCTTATTTGCCGTCCAGACGGATTTTCACTAATACCGTTCTCACCTAAGAAGAAGTCTTAAAAATAAGACTTCTTTATATTTCTGAGAAAAAAATAACAAACTCTTTGGTACTAACTTTATCGCTTTGCTTCTGTTTTGATCTTCGGGTCATTTGTTAGGCTTTTCTTTTAAAAACATTACGCTGGCCAGAGATTATTGCTGGTTTTAAGTCGCTTTGGTTGGCTTATACGCTATCATGAGAAGTCCAGCTAATGTTGTTCGTCGTTTAGGAAATAGGTCTTGCTTTCATTTCTGTTCATTATTGCACATTTTCTTGAGCCCTGTAATCATTTGGTCGTATTGGGAACAGTATTTAATGAGATTGGACGTTTCTTTCTCAAAAGTTCATGATGACGTGCTCCTCTCCAATCCCATGTGTGTGGAAGTCCATAATGGAAAGAATCTCCATTATCTTATAGCACGCAGTGGATTATTTTCAGATTGTATGAAGCAATCCGGAAAAAACAGACCTTTTTTCCAAACGTCGCATTAACCTCGCTTAAACTTTTCCTTAAGCGATAGTTATGCCGTGATATTAACCAGGATGAGACAGAAATTCACACGTTATATTTTAATTTTCCCTTCTCTACCTATGCACTTATTGACACGATCCTTTTTTCATTATCACCTATTCTATGCAATCTTTGTTAATTAGCGGTATAAAAAGTGTTTGGAAAAATCTTGCAAGGAAGTAAACGCCACTCACGAGTAGAGAAAAAAAGTGAAAACGAAAGTAGCTACACAGCACACGCCCGTCCCCCTTCGAACTTTCATCCGGTATGTTTTCTCGCGTAACCGTCGCATTCCATATTCAGACACCTTCTGCTTTCGAACAATGAAAAAGCGATGTCCCCAGAAGAAAATCTAAGTTAGACGATGGTAGTTTTTCCTAAGGAAACCCAGAAACCGGAAGGGTGTTTCTTTTTACGAAAGATCGTCTTTCTAAATTAATTATACTCCTCAAATCTGAACCGATTCTAACAACCTTACAGAGCTTGGAAGTCTAATTATTTTAGAGTGACGACCTTCCATAAGGAAAACCATGTGGACGAATCTATGGGAAAATAGACAACAGTTTTTTTTTTAAATTTTGTTTTATTTATTTATTTAGAAATCTCGAGATGCGGTCTGGTGTGATGTAGGTTTCAGAAAAACATTTTCTTTATCGTGCCAACGTTTCGATCTTTATTGAGATCATCTTCAGGGCTCAAAGTGACAACAGTATGGATCACATTCGCCCAATCTTAATTTAGATGTATCCGTGTAACCATTTATAAGCGATACTGATCTTTTTCCAAAAGTTTAGATTTCGTGCAATTGTGGACAATGTTTTCTAAAAAATTATAGTTTACAATGACAAGTAATTAAAAACTTCATCGTACTTCGAATAACTCGCTTCGCCCTGGTTATTGGCCTGACGTCGCCGTCTACACATCGTCTTTTTCTGGCAATGAAACAAAAGTGATACTGAAGTTTTACCACACTTT